CGGTAGGAAGCCCAGCTGGCTGTGAGCGAGAGTAGCGAGCGATCTGTGGCTGATGAGTGAAAACAAAAGAAAAATGTTCGGGACTGAAGCTCCGTCAGCATCGGCTGGCGACGCCGCCGCTCCGCCCGTCTCACAACCAGAGCGGAAAACACACATCGGCTTGGATTATTTAGACGGGATTCTGTGTGTGAAATAACACCAGTGAAATTATTACTTAAGCGTTTTTTGTGTGCATGTTGTTCAGTAGCTAATGTTATAATTAATATCATCTGTTTTTTTCCGTAAGCCCTACACACTGTGTGTGATGTGTTTGGGGAGATTGGAGGTGTGGCGTGAGAGCGTGTGAAGAGGGTCAAATGCGTGCGTCTCACGCTCAGTGCGTGAGAGTTGGCAGCTCTGCACACACACACACACACACACACACACACACACACACACACACACACACACACACACACACACACACACTTATGATTAATTCTACATCCTGAAACAGGAGCTTGAGTGTGTTTTTCCACAGAAAACTTCTGTCGAGACATTAATTCTCTTGGTGGAGTTAGGAAAAGGAAATGCACGTAGCCTACATTCAGCCTTGATAGCGTGTAGTAAACATAAACAAAATTAAAGCAACTTTCCTGCTAAAAATATGAACATTAAAATAAATGTTTAATATTTTAGAGGCATTCTTCATAACCAAAATTGCTCTTTAAACATTATGTTTGTGTTGAAGAATGATATATTCTGGAAATCCAAGCTCGGAGGTCAAAAGGTCATTATTAATTGCACTGGAATTAGTGTGATGCAGATTGAAAATTGGATTTGTGTAGCAGATGGTGGTCTTGTTGTTTGTTTAGATCACTTTGCAGAGCTACAAATGATTAGTTTTCTTTGTAAATAAATTGTATTTAAAAATTTCAAAAAATGTCTGAATTGTATAATAATACATTTTTTCTTCATAGCAGAATGTGAATAATGTTTGTTCTCGCTAACCTCTTTACAAACTCTTGCTCTGAACCAGAACTTGTTTTATCTCCGGTTCTATTCTTCTGAACATGCCCGACGTGTTGGCTGAAGAAGAATAGAACCAGAGTTAAAACAAGTTCTGGTTCGGAGCAAGAGTTTATAAAGAGGTTAGAGAGATCCAGCTTTTATTTTGGTAACCAACTTCCACTTATTGGTAAGCAAATTTGCATATTAGCTAAATGTTTAAGTACCAGCTAAATGTTTATTAACGATGTTATTTGGCTCCACACTATATTTTATATTTTTGGGTCAGACTTAAATATTTACTTCCCAAATACTGATTTTGCAAACTAAATGTTTTGCTCCAAAATAAACATTTAGCTGGGATCTAAATATTTTTTTCGGAAAATAAATATTTAATTTACAAATTAAATGTTTAATTTACAAATTAAATGTTTACTTTACAAATTAAATATTTAGTTCCAAAATAAATATTTAGTTAGTGAATTCAATATTTATTTTACAAACTAAACATTTAGATCAGACCTAAATATTTAGTTTGCAAAATAAATATTTAACTATAAATTAAATATTTAACTTGCTAACTAAATATTTATTTGGAAACTTTAACATTCATAAATGTATAAATAACATGGTGAAAATATGACTTTGAAAAAGTGAACTCCCAAATTTTTCTCTTATGATATGCTAAATAACCAAAAATATTGCTGTTAGATTATGACTGTTTGACTTTACAAATGGCACCCCATAGGGCATTGCCTGGCTTTTCTGAATAATGTAATGCAACATTTCTGTATAAGGTGAAAGATTGTGGAATGCCATCAACAGGGAATTTGAAGAATCAACTTCACTTGCTATATTTAAAAAATTTATAAAATCTAATGTATTTAGTAATTATGAAAAGGTGAATTATAATGTCAAAGATTAGACATGATACTATTAAAGTGACTGAGGTTATATTGTGTTTGTTTGACGGATAATTTTATTTCGTAAAAAGGGTCAGAAATTATAAGATTTTTTCTTCTATCTGCTCCTTTTCATTCAAATGTTTTTTTCTTTTTTTTCAATATGTTAATGTATGTTGTTTTTGTTTGTGTTTATTTTATACATTTAGACTGAAATAAAAGATTAATATACCGTATATATATATATATATGCTGGTTACCCCCACAGTCCAGCAACATGGGCCTTATAAGTGTGTGTGTGTGTGTGTGTGTGTGTGTGTGTGTGTGTGTGTGTGTGTGTGTGTGTGTGTGTGTGTGAGTGTGTGAAAGAGAGAGAGAGCATGTATGTGTGAATGCTTAGCTGTTTGTCTCAACTGTGCATGTGTTCACCTTGTGGTGGACTGGTAGCTTTGTCCCAGGTGCATCTCACCTGCGGCCCCCTCTTAGTCAAACTGCGGCCATAAACTCTGAAGGGGTTTCTTCAGTAGCTCCTTACTGACAAGGAGTGAATTTTGTTGAATTAAGGTGTTTTCACAAGTCATGAGGCGATGCATCTGCATGTTTGTTAGAATTATTTCCTTCAAAAGTAGCTTTTTAAAGTTCTAATCAATAAAAATGGGGTCAATAGACCATTCTGATATTTGTAAAGTGAGGCATCTGATTAAGGAAATCTGTTATTTTGTGAATGTGTTGTCTTCATACCTGATTTCTAGTTTCTCCTGTCATGGCTTGACCACCAGGAAGGTGTTCACGATTCTTGAAAGTGAGAATTCGGTTCTACTTCAGAAACACGATTAATTAGAAAGAGAGATCTTATTTTTAGTATGAAAACTCCCAGAGTGGAATTTCTGTTTTTTGGTGGATTTTGTTGATTTATTTTTGCCATACAACGTAGCAGTTTAATGAGATTGCCTAAAGACAGCAGATGTGGCTCTGAGGCTATATGGCAAAAAAAAAAAAAGGACAACAAGAAAAAGATACATCAAAACATTGTAATGAATCAACATGTTATGACAAGGTTGTTGACTAAAACTCCCCTAATTTTTCTGCTTGAAGGAACATGCCACCTGTTATTCATATTGTCTTGTAGAAGGATATAGCAATATGTTGCTATGTTTCATCTCTAGAGACTGTTTGTAATCCTGCTGCTGCTGGCCTGTCCCAGTGGGGACTCTCCGCTGGGTAATAAAGCCATGTGTGTAACAGATGGGGACCTTTTTACTTTTCTTTTTTTCTGTGTGATGATGATGATGATGATGATGATGATGATGATGATGATGATGGTGTGTGTGTGTGTGTGGTTTATTGATGTTTTGTAAACTTTTTTTCTTCCTATGATCACATTTGGACTGTGAAATACAACTGAATTTGTTAAACAAGTAAATAACACAATAATCATATATTTCATTAATGTGTGGGTAAGCCAAACATGGGATGAGGATCAGCACCTCCAAATCTGAGACCATGGTTCTCGACCGGAAAAGGGTGGCTTGCCAACTCCGGGTTGGGAGAGAGGTCCTACCTCAAGTGGAGGAGTTTAAGTATCTCGGGGTCTTGTTCACGAGTGAGGGTAGGAGGGATCGGGAGATCGACAGGCGGATTGGTTCGGCGTCTGCAGTGATGCGGACGCTGAGCCGATCTGTCGTGGTGAGCTGAGCCAGAAAGCCAGGCTCTCGATTTACCTACGTCCCAATCCTCACCTATGGTCACGAGCTTTGGGTAATGGCCGAAAGAACGAGATCACGGATACAAGCGGCCGAACTGAGTTTCCTCCGTAGGGTGGCCGGGCTCAGCCTTAGAGATAGGGTGAGGAGCTCGGACATTCAGGAGGGACTTGAAGTAGAACTGCTGCTCCTCCGGATCGAAAGAAGTCAGTTGAGGTGGTTTGGGCATCTGGTCAGGATGCCTCCTGGACGCCTCCCTGGGGAGGTGTTTCGGGCATGTCCTGCCGGCAGGAGGCCCCCGGGTCGACCCAGAACACGTTGGAGAGGTTACATCTCCAATCTGGTCCGGGAATGCCTTGGGGTCCTGCCGGAGGAGCTGGTGGAGGTGGCCAGGGAGAGGACGGTCTGGAGCTCCCTAGTTGGGATGCTGCCCCCGCGACCCGGACCCGGACCCGGATAAGCGGAGGAAGACGACGATAAGCCAAACATGCTAATCAGTGATTGTTAGAGGGAAAAAATAAACCAATCCCTTCTCCTCATTCATTTGATTCCATAAAATGGATCTATTTAATTGAACACGTTTTGTACATAATCTATGATTCATTTTTATACTCACTAACATTTGAGGTGCTAAACTTATACTCATAGAGCTGTTAAAATAAATATATAAAAAAGAAAATGTGTCTAATCTCATTTTTAAACGGTTTAAAAGGGAAGTAGAAACCTACCTAGTTCATTATCTGGCCAAAACCAACTAAATGTATGCAACAGCCTTAGAAAAAAAGAGCGTGTAAAATTCAAGTTTTCATTTATTTTCAATTCAGTTTATTTATATAGCGCCAGATCACAGCAAGGGTCGTCTCAAGGCACTTTACTACGTAAAACCTTCCAACTGAGTTCAGACTGAGGCTGAGGGCCGGCGTTGAACAGAGAATGAAACTTGTTCTTGTTTAGTGTTGCAGGGAATAAGTCACTGGTCCGTCGTAGCGCCGCACATGTAAACAAATATTTAGCATTAAGAGTTGCCAGTTTAGCTAAAGAACTTTTGGTCCATAGAAACAGACATGCGTGGACATGCAAACGCTACACAGAAAGTTCCCATTTTGTGTTGAGCTTGAAACCTTCCATAAGGCAACACTAATGTGAACCGTACCACCATGCAGCCTAGACGGGATTCACACCTCCATTTTCCTAGTGGAGTTTGAATGTTCCTGCGGGATATGCCTGAAAAGATTTTCTGTCATTCTTCCACAGTTATAGAACAAACAAGTTCCGTGGCTATTCTAAAGTCACAGAAGAAGAATGCATGCTTATATGACTCCATTGCGAAGATTATCTCCCTCCAACCAAAAAAATGAGAAATGACGCTGTATTGGATTCATAATGTTCATAAAAATGCCAAAAATGATAAATGTGTGCTAAATGAGCAGTTTATTGGACTTTTAGTCACAGCATGAAATGTAAACAATTTTAGAAAACAAACTGTAATTTAATCGTGATGCAAATAGTGCAACAATTGTAAAACAAATGAAATGCTCATTTTAACTACATATGTGAAATATGAGTGAAATCTGAGTTTTTATGGTATATATTAGTATTGGGAGCCTTTTCCCATTATGTGTCTCTTAGTGTTTTGCTCTGGCTTAATCAGAATGATGTAACATTTGGGCAGAAAGATGCAAAACAGGAGTCCATAACTTGAAGCCAGAATTGCAAATATCTCCACAGCATCAGCAAACTTCCCAGGAGAGCTGACGTATGCTGGGATGAAGGCGAGCCACACTGTGCAGAATATCAGCATGCTGAAAGTGATGAATTTAGCTTCGTTGAAGTTGTCGGGTAGCTTCCGAGCCAGAAAAGCAAGTACAAAGCACAACACAGCTAGAAGTCCAATGTAACCCAACGCAGCGCCAAACCCGAAGACCGTACCAAGATCGCACTGCAGGATGACACGGTCTTTATACAGCATCATGTTCATAAAAGGGAAAGGCGGACTTGTGATTAGCCAAAGTATGCTAATCAAAACCTGTATGAGGGTTAAGGCCAGAACGACGAGCCTCTGCTGTGCAAGCCCAAACCATTTCATCACATTACTGCCTGGAATTGTAGCCTTGAAGGCTATTAAAACCACAATAGTCTTTCCCAGAACACAGGAGATGCAGAGTACAAAGGTGATGCCAAACGCCGTGTGTCGCAGCATGCAGGACCAATCTGTGGGCCGGCCAATAAAGGTCAGAGAACACAGGAAACACAGAGTCAAGGAGAAGAGCAGCAGGAAGCTCAGCTCAGAGTTGTTTGCTCGTACTAGTGGGGTGTCTATGTGGCAGTAGAAAACTAGGGTTGTGATCATGGTTAGAAAAATCCCCAGCAGAGCAAACAGTGCCAGTAGGGTCCCCAATTTTTCCTCATATGCCAGAAACTCTGTTGGTTTTAGGATGCAGGCATCTCTGTGTTGGTTAGACCAGTACTCCGGAGGGCATTTCAAACACTGTGGTGACTCTGTAACATAAAATTAGAAATATTATTTAAAACAATAAGTTATGGTAACAATGAACTAGGACTTCTCAGGCTGAAAATCATTGATTTTTTTTCCAGATTTCTGAATTTATTTATTTTATTCACCAGTTAAATTGGTTATTTGTCCCTCTGGACAGAGAACACAGTCGTAACAACAGGCTGGTTTTCCTTTCTGGAGGACCTTAAATGTTCCCGGGAGACATTTCTCGCTGCAGACTGACACCGGTACCTTATACACACAAAAATAATCTCATGATAGCTGCATAAAAGAAGCTTTACTAAAAAACTAAATGCTAAATAAATGAAACTCAATACATTTTAATGCAATTGTTAGAAAAGCATTTCTCTCTGGTTTACCTCAGTCAAGTCATTACCCCAGACGACTGGGATGCTGTTCAGAATAAACTGATGATCATCTGGAAGCGAAGCATCAAAAATGCCAACAGTTTCTCCGTTTAGTGTTCCTTTGTTTGTTATTTGTAAATTAACAAGTTCGTATCTTGCTGGTGAGTCACCATTATTGTCAAAATAAACTCTTTCTCCATCCACAGTGGTGAAATTCACGGAGGCGAGATATTGCAGCACCTAGGAAATAAAAGTGATTAATATTCCTGATCTTATTTTATCACAATAAACGGAATTTCTCACCGGCAACGGCTGCGTGTGTTTGGGATCATAACAGTTCCCTTTAGAGGGTGTCCCACTACCATCACATTTCATCAGATTATCCAGAGCATGAGCCACAGCGTAGACGGACTTGTAGACATTTTTAGAAAATCTCTGCTCGGAAAAATCAGTGAACTGTGAATTAATTGTTTGCAAGCTCTCAAGGCTGCTGCATGGCTTTCTTTTTGTGTTCACAGTGCCGTTCAGAGAGCATTCAAACACATCTTCCCAGAAATCTCTGACAAACGGGCTGTTGGGGAACTGTGAGGGGTGGAGCTGCATCAGATACTGCTCCAGCCCTGGGATGTTGGCTCTGGCAACCGTGAAGCCAAGCGAGCCCAGAAGGATGGCGTACCCTTCGCTGTCTGTCAGCGAGGGATCTGTGATCCAGGCGTCGCTGCCGATCCACTGCAGTCTTGTTATGTTCTCTTTGTACAACTCAGCAGCCAGTAGTTTAATTTCCCTGTGAGTCATGAAAGCCATAATCACCTTGGAAGTGGACCGCTTGATGACCTGTATTACTCTGTCTAGAACATGTGGTGGATCCGACGAGGAAAATGCCACAGAGTACTCAATACACACGCCATGATCCTCTGCAGCTTGGATGAATGCTGCGATGCCATTCATGCCGTATTCATTACTAACAGCAACTGCCCCGACCCAGGTCCAGCCAAAGTATTTGACCAGCTTTGCCAGAGCTTTGCTTTGGTAGTAATCGCTGGGGATGGTTCTGAAAAAACTAGGGTACTCCCTTCGATTGCTCAGGCAAGCACAGGTAGCAAAATGACTGATCTATAATAAAATATTGAATATTTCATTTGAGGTGTATGAGAACATGTCAAAAGATGTTTAAATTGTTTGTGCAGAAATCTTACAAAGCACAATGACTGGAAAAGCTAATGGACCCTTTAATTTGGACTTACCACCGGTATCTGAAACCTTCCAACGACCTGTGCAAAGGCAATAGTTGGGCTTGATCCCGAGTGCCCTATGATAGCTTGCACTGTTTCAGATTTTGTGCAGAAATCATCATTTATTTCTCCTCTCAGTCCACTTACAAGAGCCAGCGCAGCTCTCAGTATGTCCATTGTCCCACAGTTGTTGTAAATCTTGTAGCCAAGTCTGACACCTGGCAGGATTTCAGGGTTTTTGTTGATTTCATTTATAGCAAAAATCATTGTTTGAGCAAATTTGAGTTCTCTCAAATTGAAACTGTAAATAAAAGCAACAGAATGTTATCTGCAGCTCAACAGTGTGAATACATGGCATGATAAATCAGTTAACAATGATATTGATCAGCAATAGTGTCAAACACCAGACAGCCTTACTTGTTGCATTTTCTGATTTCTGGAACAGACTGAAATGAGTTGGTGGAATAATCCTGGTCCGTGCGAAATGAAAAAATGCCTCCAATAATGAGGTCACCATCCTGAGCTAGTTCAGGTTGTTGTGCCGAGCCCTGAAGTCGACATACAGACCTTCCTTTTCCCATCAGGAAAACCATAAGGAAAAGCTCCAACGGTGACATAGTTCTCCTCAGCGAGTCAACAGTCCGACGTGTCACAGCAGGACTTTATACATACTGCATTCACGCCGGGCTGGGTGTGTTTGTTTCAGCAAAACATAACCTCAGGCAACCAGAATAAACAACCAAATAAGATTTGATTTGGCCCACAGTTTTTTTTTTCATTTTAATTTAATTTTGTACAAAACAAGAAACAAAAACCGTTTCACTCTATAATATACAATATTTAATAGAAATGTGTCTTTTGGATACGGTTAATATAGAATATTGGAAATAGACATAACACAAAATAAATATATTAAACATCTTTGGTGTGTTCTTGCTGTGTTGAAATTCTAATTCCATCTTTTAGTTTTTTTTTTAAACACAGAAAGGTTTTATTTACTTGCAATGTTTCGTTTGCGGCTGCAAACTTCATCAGGCTGACTGGCTGCCTGACGACGTTTGCAGCCCCAAACGAAACGTTGCAGGTAAATAAAACCTTTATGTGTTTTAAAAAGAACTAAAATATGAAATATATTAAAATTAGGGATTCAAATATGGCTACTTATTGGCCTAACATTGTTATTTAATGATAAAATGACATTAAAATGTCACCCAATTACTGTCAATTTTGAAAAAGGTTGAAGTTTCCTATTTCCCATCATATTTATTTTAGTTTTTTGTTAGGTTTCAGTAAGATAATATAACATTTTGGGATTAAAATACTGATTAATAATCTACACATAAAGGGAATTATGGTAACAATCTCTATGGCAATCCTAAATTCACCAGTTAGGACAACATATGCTGTAATAAAAGTGATCCAAACTGATATCGGCATGATATAGGTGACACATTTAGCTTCCTTTAATTTATCAGGTAATTTCTTAAACTAGAAAAGCTAAATTAAAACAGCAAAGACAGAAGTCCACAGCTGATTAATGTTTAAATAACTACAATAATCAAACAGACTATGGCAAAAACAAGAAATTCATAAAGAGCATACGTTTAATGCAGTTTAGACATTAAAGTTCCTCAACACTTCTGATGTGAGAAATGAAAAATGTATTCTTAAACTTCTCGCCAAAATATGAACGTAAAAAAAACAACTTGGTTTGTACATTGACCCTTTGCACATGACATCACACCGCTGATGGGACGGCCCTTTTAGCTATGAGTGACGGCAGACAAACAGTTTACGGCATTGAAATTCCTGCAAAGTTAATTATAACAAGCCACTTTATGGCCTTATATTGCTTTTAGATTGCAGGAACAACTGAAACTGCGTTAAGAACTGTCCAACGTATTATTGAAAACTGGGTAAGAAGAGAGGCAGATGAAGTGATGCACCCATCATGCCTAGTGCCTACTGTACAAGACTGCGGGGGCAGTGCTATGATCTGGGCTTGCTGCAGTTGGTCAGGTCTAGGTTCAGCAACAGGGCTGTGCTCCAAGAATGAGGTCAGCTGACTACCTGAATATACCAAATGATGACCAGGTTATTCCATCAAAGGAGTCCAGACCATAACCCCATTGAGAATCTTTGGGATGTACTGGAGAAATCTTTATGCAGCGATGGGACTCCACCATCATCAATGCAAGATCTTGGTGAAAAATTAAGACAAAAATGGATGGAAATAAATCTTGTGACACTGCAGAAGATTATCAAAACAATGCCACAGTGAATGTGGGCCATAATCAAAGCTAAAGGTGATCCAATTCAATAATAGTGTGTGACTTTTTTTTTTTGGCTGGGCAAACTTATTTAGTATTGATAATCATAGATGTCACCGTGGAGGACGTGCAATACCATAACTATAGTGAATTGCTTGATGGTAATAACAATATTCCCGTGTAGGGTTACGTGTGCGAAAATTAAGTTGTATATTTAGCATGATGAGCTTCGCCATTATGAGATATCTTTTCTAGCCCTGATGTGAGAGAAGATGGTGAACCTGGTGCCCAGCCAGCAACAAAACTGAGCCCCCCCCCCCCCCCCCCCCCCTTTTTTTACAATCTGCTTCAGTATAAAGTAAAACACAGTTTTTAACATAATGTTATAAATCCAGTGAGACAAATTCTGGCAAGGTCGTCCATAATTTGTTGAACAGCAGCAGGGAGAACGTAAGCTAACGTTTGTAAGCTAGCTAATACCTAACTATATCAATAGCACTCTCTGTGAGCCCCATGGGTGTGCTAAACCTTCCCGCAAGTAAACTGAGCTTCAACTAGTCGAAGCCATGCTACACCAGCAAAGGAAAAAGTCAATCGCCACCTTTGCTCTCCATTCAACACATTCTCACACCCAAAGCATCAAAAAATGATGCTGGGTGACCAAGTGTTTCTTTCTAATCCGGCAAAATGCACATTTCATCTAAATTTAACCTCTTGCTATTTAACCTCCCTCTCACCCCCACTCTAACCCTAACCCTGTTGCTCATTCTAAAGTTCCCGTGGGACAATACAACTAGATACAACGTTCTGCATGCACAAGAGGGTTAAGGTTAGGATGGGGGTAAGGTGAAGGTTAAATATCAGGAGGGTAAAGGTCAACATTCAGTCAAATCTCCGTTTTACCAGGGCTGTTGGAAAACGACGCTCTGGCGCAGCACTCCAGCTCCTGACAAGTCCCAACGGGTCGGAAACAAACACTTGATCCACCCAGCGTCATTTTTCAATGCTTCAGGCGTGAGAATGTGTTACCACACCATACCAACTTCATTTATAAAGCACATTTAAAAACGGAATGGCAGCCGACCAAAGTGCTGTACAGATGCAAAGTAAAACACAACATAAAAACAAAAACACTCAATTTAACACTCCCGCAATTCATGGTAGATGTCCACTATGGTGGACCCTTGTGATCAGGTAGCATAGATGTAAAGGGTCAACATACGTTACTAAAATCTGACAAAACAATTGTTAGAACGCCTTTGGTGGCCTCTTGGCCATCATACTCTTCTTTGTATTACTTTCTGGCCTTAGTAGCATTATATAGCATTTAGGAATGAAGATACAAATCAGCAGTCCAAAACTAGAAGCGAGAATTGAAAAGATTTCAACAGCGACACTGAACTTTCCAGGAGAGCTGACATAGGCTGGTATAAAAGTGATCCAAACGGCACAGAATATCAACATGCTGAAGGTGATGAATTTAGCTTCGTTGAAGTTATCGGGCAGTTTACGAGCCAGAAAAGCAAAAATGAAACACAACACAGCCAGAAGTCCAATGTACCCGAGCACAGACCAGAAGCCCACAGCCGAGCCCAGAGAACACTCCAAGATGATTTTATCTTTGTATTCTTTAAAATTTTTAATTGGAAATGGAGGCGAAAGTGTTAACCAGAGGATACATATGATCACTTGTACAAACGTGAAGCCCAGAACACTGAGTCTCTGCTGTGTAGGCCCAAACATTTTAATGACTCTTTTGCCTGGAGACAGAGCTTTAAAGGCCATTAGGACCACCACTGTTTTCCCCAGAACACAGGAGACGCAGAGGACGAAGGTGATGCCGAAAGCTGTGTGACGAAGCATGCAGGACCACTCCGATGGACGGCCGATGAAGGTCAGAGAGCAGAGGAAACACAGAGTCAAGGAGAAGAGCAGCAGGAAGCTCAGCTCTGAGTTGTTTGCTCTGACTAGAGGAGTTTTTCTGTATCTGAAGAAAATGAAAGCTACAGCAGCAGTCAGACATGTTCCAAACAAGGAGGCTGCAGTGAACAGAGCTCCCATAATTTCTTCATATGATAGAAACAACTCTTCCTTTTTTACGCAGGCATCTCTTCTTTCATTCGACCAGAATTCAGCAAGACATTTCACACACGTTATAGAATCTGAAAAAAGGGGGAAAAAAATCTTTCATCATTGAAGTTTGCTCGCTCTGAATTCTCTCAATTTTGAGAGACTTCCTGCCTAACCCTTAAACCTTTCTATGTAAACACGTCATAAAGTTAACCCATCCTTTAACATTAAAACACAAGTTGTAGGAATACAGTGGGGCAAGAAAGTATTTAGTCAGCCACCGATTGTGCAAGTTCTCCCACTTAAAATGATGACAGAGGTCAGTAATTTACATCATAGGTACACTTCAACTGTGAGAGACAGAATGTGAAAAAGAATCCATGAATTCACATGTCAGGATTTTTAAAGAATTTATTTGTAAACCAGGGTGGAAAATAAGTATTTGGTCAATAACAAAAATTCAACTCAGTACTTTGTAACATAACCTTTGTTGGCAATAACAGAGGTCAAACGATTACTATAGGCCTTTACCAGGTTTGCACACACAGTAGCTGCTATTTTGGCCCATTCCTCCATGCAGATCTTCTCGAGATGTGTTGGGGCTATCGCCAAGCAACACAGACTTTCAACTCCCTCCTCAGATTTTCTATGGGGTTGAGGTCTGGAGACTGGCTAGGCCACTCCAGGACTTTCAAATACTTCTTACGGAGCCACTCCTTTGTTGCCCGGGCGGTGTGAAAAGCTTCTTAAAGAAGACGTTACAGGTCTGTGAGAGCCAGAGATTTTCCTTGTTTGAAGTGACCAAATACTTATTTTCCACCCTGATTTACAAATAAATTCTTTAAAAATCCTGCCATGTGAATTCATGGATTTCTTTTCACATTCTGTCTCTCACTGTTGAAGTGTACCTATGATGTAAATTACTGACCTCTGTCATCAATTTAAGTGGGAGAACTTGCACAATCGGTGGCTGACCAAATACATTTTTGCCCCACTGTAAATGTGGACATTTTATTATTATTTAATTATTGTACCATTTCTGATTCAATGCAAGCATTTGGTGTCTTGCTGGGTGAAAGTCTGACTGATGTTACTGTTTTTGGAAACATTTTGTAGAGCAGCGCTATTTAATCCTGGTCCTCAAAGGTAGGTTTTCATGCCTACCTGGACTAACCCACCTGCTTTGAATCAACTGGTGAATGACAGGCTTGTGATTAACTTGAGGACACGATAAACAGGTGATCCAACTGTTGAGGCATGTATGTTGGAGCAGGGAAACAACTAAAAAATGCAAAAGCAATGGCCTTTCCAGAGCCATAACTGAATAACCCCTGCATGTTTTCCATTTAGGGGAGAATGGAGGTTAAATAAATAATAAGATTCCTAACTGGGAGGTTAGAGATTCAATATTAAGCGTGGGTGAAGCACATATACAATACATAATAGAAGAATTGCATGTGATTTAAAATCATGCTGTTGAAGCATTTTGAAGAAATTTGTTTGGACTCAAAAGTTGCTTTATACATCTGGAGGAGTTATTTTTACATTCAAACAGTTCATGAATAATACTAAACCTGTAACGTTGCTCATTTCTCCTTCTGCACATCTCATACAGTCATAGCAGCAAACAGGTTTTCCTCTCTGCAGCATTTTTCGCGTTCCTGGTGGACACTTCTCGCTGCACACTGATACAGGAACCTGCACGAACAGCGGAGCCAAGTCATGTCTTCCCTGTTCATGTTTTTACATTCACTCCTGCAGCATTCTTTTTTCAGCTCACCTGCACCGAGTTTTGTGTCCAAATTAAAGATTTATTCTGCAAAGTCAGCTGTTTGTCTGCAGGTAACGACACATCGTAAAGACCAGCGTAGACAAACTCCACAGTGTTGTTTTCTCTTGGCTGCCAGTTGATAATTTCATACTTTGCAGGCGGATCTCCATTTTCATTAAAATAGACCTCATCTCCTTCTTTAGTTTTAAACTGAATCTTTTGTATGTGCTGTAAAATCTACAAACATAATTATTATTTCAGCTTTTTTATGACACACCCTGTTTAAAACCTTGTTTAGCCATCAGACGTTTTATTTCTCTATTTTATCCCAACAGTCAGTTTCTGTCGATATTAGGCTCACCGTTGAGGGATCTAGCGTCACGCTGGTGTCACACGTTTTATTACATTTCAGAATATTGTGCAGAGCACGGGCCACTGCGTACACTCCTTTATAGACGTTATTTACAATCGGCATCAGTGACATGTCAGTGAAGCCGTTTTCCACTCCAGTCAGATCCTCGTGTCCGGTACATTCTCTCTGAATCTCTTCAGTTTGTGACTGCTTGAGCTTACAGCTAAATAAAGCCTCCCAGAACTCTGTGAACAAGTCATTTTTAGGTGAATTGAGGGGCTTCACATCCAGCATGAACTCTCTAAAGCCACTGATGTGTGCTTTGGGAATAGAAAGGCCTACTGCTCCATCCAGGATGTGATTCACATCTATGGTTGCTGTCTGATAATCAAAGATCCAGCCTTCAGTACCAACCCACTGGTACCCTGTCAAGTTGTTTTGAGAAAACTCACGCAGTAGCACATCTAAGTCCATGGGAGAAAGGAAAGCAACAATCACCTTTGAGGTTGACGCCTTGATAATGTCTATGCTTTTCTGTATTTTTCCTGTTGGGTCCGTTCTGAAGAAAGAAACAGAATATTCCAGACAGATGCCGAGCTGCTGTGCTGTTTCTGTGAACGTTGCCATGCCGCTGTTGCCATAATCATCATTTGATCTTACAGCTCCAATCCAAGTCCAACCAAAGTGTTTAACCAAATGGGCCAGAGCTCTGCTCTGATAGTAGTCACTGGGTATGGTTCTGAGAAACGATGGATACTTGGATTTATCACTGAGGCAAGCACATGTAGCAAAGTGGCTGATCTGAAAAGAAAATCATAAATTCTTGCAATTAAAATGCCTGTTTCTCCCTGATAACCCCACAACATTTTGATTTCACTAATAATACCCACTATTGGTATGTGAAATGGCCCAAGAACAGCAGCGATAGCTGTGCTTGGAGAGGAGGACGTTTCACCTATTATAGCCTGGACTTGTGCAGGTTTTGAGCATGCCTTTAAAGGTGACGCTTTACCTTCGTTACCATTAACCAAGGACAGCGCAACCTTTACACTTCTGGCAATGGAGCCGCAGGTGTCATAAACATTGTAGCCCAGAGTGATGCCTGGCAGGAGCTCTGTACTGTTATTGATCTCCTCTATTCCAAAACGCATAGCCTGAGCAAACTGGAAGTCTCTGAAATGCAAACTTAATTCAGACATGTTAAACATGATATTAAACCATTAATTTACATAAACAGAATAGTGAGGCTTTCAAGACAGCTATGATAAATGTTTGATCTATCTAGTAGTGTCATTTACCTGGTGCATTGTAGTTGCTGTGGTTTCTGGTTATACTCATCCTGACTGTTTTTCCAGCTGCTGTGAAACGAAAAGATTCCACCCAACATGATGTCCCCATTCTTAAATAGTTGGGGATTTTCATGATCCCCTGTTTGTTTGCAGGCTGGCTCCTCTGTGTGAGAGCCGCATACCATCAAAAACTGTAACAGTGCCCATCCCTGGTGCCGCCACTTCTGTGTGGACATGGTGAAAAGTGAAAGAGTCAATCCAGGATCACACGCACTAGCATTTATACGTAATGCTTTAGCTTGAGCTGTAACAGCCGTGGTTCAGCCTACAGGGCGGGGAAGACAAATGGAATGACTAAACGAAGAGGAAAATACTTCTGTGTGTTTACTGAAAGGAATATTTTCTAATTTTGTACAATCTAGACTAAGATATTTGTTTGATTCAGAATTAAAGAAATGTAAATACAATATCCATCCATCTATCCATTTTCCTTCGTTTATCTGAGGTTGGGTCGTGAAGTCAGACACTTGGGCAAGAGCCTTAAGAGTAATCTGAAGGTGTTCCCAGACCAGTCGAGAAATAGACGGTGGTCTGCTCAGTGTGCCCTGGGTCTTCCATTAGATCTCCTGGTTGGACATGCCCAGAAAAAACCTCACCAGGGAGGCATCCAGGAGACTTAAGCAGATGTCCGAGCCACCCCAACGAGCTCCTCTCGATGTGGAAGAGCAGCAGAAACTTTGAACCCTAAGGTGACCTGATTTCTCATCTTAACTATAAGGGAGAGCCCAGACAAAGGAAAAACTCACTTTGACCACTTATATCTAGGATCTGTATTATCTGGTCACCACCGGAAGCTTATGACCACAGATTTTAACTCGGTTTTCTCTTCGCCACAACCAACTGGTACAGCAGCAGCATCACCGCAGATGGAGCGCAAATCTACCGACTGATCTCTTACTCCATTTTTACTTCCCCAAAACACTTAAACTCGTCCACTTTGGACAGGACCTTGTCTCTGACCCGGAGAATTAAAATGATCTTCTTCCAACCCACAACCATAGTCTTGGATTTGGAGGTGCTGATTCTCATCCAGGCCGCTTCACACCTGGCCTCGAAGTGTAGAAGTATTAAAATGCACCCTCACCGAATACCAAACAATTCTTAAAGCAAACGTAGAAACAACAGCTATAGAAGACAAAGGTCAGGTTTTCCCCATGAGTATTCTTGCCATAATCTAAATTGACCTCAGTCATCATGTATAGGTGGGTCTCGTGGATATTTATGGGCCATTCCCATCTGTACCGGGTCGGCCCGGGCCGGGTAGCGTAGGTTGTTTACATATCTGGGTGGCCTGGTATTTTTCCGGGCCAACCAAGGCTCATTCTCAGCCCTCTTCTCGAGGGGGTCTGCTTCAGGCCGACCAGGGCCAACACACCCACTGCTGACAGCAAATTCACACCTTCCATTAGAGCAAGCCTCTGATTGGTGGGTAGAATCAGCCCACATGGGCTTAAGACAAGGATGTGTGGAATCAACCGGGCCAGGCTGGGGCCGACTGGGGCTACCCGGCCCGGGTCGACCCGGTACAGATGGGAATGGCCCATTATAGGCAAACTCTATGGGTGTCAACATGCTTTATCCATCCCCTTCTTTATCCAAATGGTTTTCATAAGCTCCAGAAGTGTGGTTATGGGATTGTTTGATTGTTTTTTTAGGAGCTCATTTATGCAGCCAGCCTCTGTTGCTGTGCAAGAAGAACCAGCTTGCAGGACTTAATGCAGGCCAGTAAATGTCCTTTACACATATGTTTACCATCACATCACCAGCAGCGTGTGAATGTGTGAGTGAATGAACAATAGCCTGCCTGAAAACAGTCTGTGTGTATTGAAAAGCTTTACATAAATCTAATCCATTAATACTGCTAATCTTTAGTGGCGTCCCAATATTTCTGGCAATATTATGCTATTGTTAGTGTCTCACATGACAGTGAATCTCTGGCAAAAAAAATCTTTTGACATTAGTAGTTTTATCTCATTTTATTTGTGCATAATTTCCATAAAGTTTTAGCTTACCACTGCAGCATTTTTATTGGGCTGAAATTTGGAATTTGGTGATTTCATTTAAACACAGATTTACCTGTAGTTTGACTGGTAAAGATGTGTGTGTGTGTGTGTGTGTGTGTGTGTGTGTGTGTGTGTGTGTGTGTGTGTGTGTGTGTGTGTGTGTGTGTGTGTGTGTGTGTGTGTGTGTGTTAATTGGGGGTATTGTCATTGATGTATTGTAAATCCTTTTCACTCATTATGAGAAGCAGTGGTTGAACTGTTAATCAGGGAAGTCCTGTTACCACATATAAAACTGGGAATCGCTAGCCTTTGTAAATTACTTATTTAGTTTTTTATTTAACGTTGTGTACCATCAGTTGTCAGTTATAATGATCTAGCAACAAAGGTGAAGAGGAATTGCCTGTTTGACTGTTGCTGGAACAGAATCAGGACCCTTTATCATTTTGATCAGTGTTTGTGAAATTTGTGTACAAATATGCTAAAAAAAATGTGACTAAGGGATGGTAAAAGTTAAAGTTCCATTAGGTATCATCACACTGGTGAAATTCATCTCTGCATTCGACCATCCCCGTGGGGATCTGTGGCTGCACTCGGGAGGTATTTGGTGGTTTGACCCCCCCAATCCTACCCCCTGAAGCTGAGTGTCAAGCAAATTGGAACCCATTTTTAAGGTATTTGGTATGACCTGACTGGGATTTGAACCCCGATCTCCCAGTCGCAGGGTGGACAACCCACCACTAGCCCCCTGAGGAGGAAGTGTAACAACTGACAGATTTGTCCGCCTGATCTAATAGAAATAATATCACCACTTAGTGTTTGCTCTCTGTGAAAAACCGATGCAGTGAACCTCAATCTTCAGATATAATTTTTTTTGTTTATTTTTAAATGATTTTTGCCACTTGGTTGTTTAAAAAATGGGTGAAATCTGATTTTACAAACTACACAAAATAAGCCTCTTCCACAATTTAACTTCATATTTTTTACTATTAGTCTAATTCTTCAGTGAACAAAACCGTGAGGGATAAAGATCAAAACAACACGAGTTGTTAGCCACGTTTATTCCTTTTTTATCATAGGTTATTACAAAAAAGACTACAATAGAGGTGAAAGTTTGGTCATAAAGAAAATTAGGACTGAAACTTAGATTCATTAATGAGAAATAAAATAGCCTTGCCCAAAACATGACCAACGGCTTTAAGCCTCATTTACACCGAGTGTGGAGCTGATATAGATCTGGATCCATGCAGAGCGCATGATCACCTCCATAAAAAAAATCCATAAGAGAGAGGGGGGTGGGGGTGGGGGGTGGGGTGGGGGGGGGGGGGGGTTGTTCGGTCAGTGGTGTCTTGTGTCAGATCGCCTCCGTATTAGCCCCGTAAGGCGGGTGAGGGGTGATGTTACACATAGTATGTTTGAAATAAATCCCTGTACGCTGAGTTTCCATAAATATAATGCAATAAAAGTTGAAACTGGATCATCTTTCAGGTTCCCCCTTGGTGTGTCATGTGAGGCCTTCCAGGGAGCCCATCACCTTGTCATGGGAGAAAAAACAATCCCTTTAGCTTCTCTCTAATTCAAACCCTGCATGTTGCATTCTTCTGTCCGACTTGTTTAGTTAATATTGATGACAGGGATATCTGTTGACAGTGTACCCAGCTCCTCTTAATACACACAGTTGTTACCGTATAAAGTTGCAGGAATGTGCTGCAGAGGGGTTCTGCTCGCGATCCGCATCTGGTGTAAATGGCAGACCATCTGGAAGCCGCACGTATTCCTGTCCGCATCCGTTGGGCACTCGGAGCAAATGAGGCTTTAGAATGACTTAGGCGTCCCCTTTCCCATCATGTTCTTCTTTGTATTGTTCTCCGGCTTTAGCAACATGATGTAACATTTTGGTATAAAGATACAAATCAGTAATCCAAAGCTAGAAGCTAGTATAGCAAAGATTTCAACAGCGACACTAAATTTTCCAGGAGAGCTGACATACGCTGGGATGAAAGTGATCCATACGGCACAGAATATCAACATGCTGAAGGTGATGAATTTAGCTTCGTTGAAGTTATCGGGCAGTTTACGAGCCAGAAAAGCAAAAACGAAACAAAACACAGCCAGAAGTCCGATGTACCCGAGCACAGACCAGAAGCCCACAGCTGAGCCCAGAGAACACTCCAAGATGATTTTATCTTTGTATTCTTTAAAATTTTTTGATGGAAATGGAGGAGAAATTGTTAGCCAGAGGATACATATGATCACTTGTATCAGAGTAAAACCCAGAACACTGAGTCTCTGCTGAGTAGGCCCAAACCATTTCATTACATTTTTCCCTGGAAGTGTAGCTTTAAAGGCCATCAGGACCACCATGGTTTTCCCCAGAACACAGGAGATGCAGAGGACGAAGGTGATGCCGAAAGCTGTGTGACGAAGCATGCAGGACCACTCTGATGGACGTCCGATGAAGGTCAGAGAGCAGAGGAAACACAGAGTCAAGGAGAAGAGCAGCAGGAAGCTCAGCTCTGAGTTGTTTGCTCTGACTAGAGGAGTTTTTCTGTGTCTGATGAAAATGAAAGCTACAGCAGCAGTCAGACATGTTCCAAACAAGGAAGCAGCTGTGAGCAGAGCTCCCATAATCTCTTCATATGACAGAAATATGTTCTCTTTTGTCACACAGGTGTCTCGTCTTTCATTCGACCAGAATTCAGGGGGGCATCTCACACAAGTGATGGAATCTGTAAATTAATTTTAAAAAGTTGACTTGCTAAGTCATTTTCTATTATCGATGATGTTTTTGTGCCATCTTACTTAAATTATTTAGCCATATGAATGTATCCACATTAGCTGGATTTATTGTGAATTACCCTGCATGTAACTAGGTGTTGTTTTTTATAATTTTTTTTTACGTTAATTTTCAATTTAATTTACTGTGGTTTAGCTTTGTGTCACTTTCCTAAAACACATTCAAATCTGGTTTGGAACTTATGACTCCCATATTTTTGGAAACTGATTATTTCCTAGTTCTTAGAATAACGCATCAAAAAGTGTCAAAGACAAACTAAATGATTGCCAATTCTCCCTAATAGATCATCTGTTTTCATAAATCAGAACACAAACCCCTTTTCTCTGAACTATAAATACTAGCCTGTGATGTTGCTAATTTCTCCCTCTGCACATCTTATACAGTCGTAGCAGCAAACGGGTTTTCCTTTCTGCAGAACTTTACGTGTTCCTGGAGGGCACCTCTCACTGCAGACCGACACAGGAACCTGCAGGATTAAAATGCATATTGAGTTTTGTTTTCAGCACAATTCCACAATGCGTCATCATTTACTGTTTCACGGTTTTCACCTGCAGAGATTTTTGTGCCCAAATTAAGGACCCAGCTTGCACGTTCATTTGTCTGTCTGCAGGTAGCGATGCATCGTAAAGACCAACTGGGACAAATTCCACAACACCATTTTCTTTGGGTTGCCAGTTAATAATCTCATACTTTGCTGGTGGCTCCCCGTGATCGTTGAAGTAAACCTCCTCTCCTCTCTGTTTTAAAGTAGATTTGCTGCATGTGCTGTAAAATCTATGAAACAAACATATACTTTACAAATGTACTGAGTCAAGTGTAAGAACATGAAAACATTTTTGTTTCTTTGATTTTCTTTAAGAATTTTTTCACAATTTTATTAACCCTTTGATGCATGAATTATGAAATCTTCAACCATGATTTTTTAAACAATTTTTTTCATTCATCTTTAGGTGTGAATGAAATAAATTTCATATTTACATATTTTTTGTAACATTTAATTTACACATAGTTTATTACATGTCAACTTCAGTGGACAGCGTGCATTCTGAACATGAAATATGTTGGCTTGGCTTACTGAAGTCCAAATGGAGGGGCTCACATGCATTAAAGTCTTCAACAGCTGTGCTTAATAGCAAAATAAATAAATAACAATTTTGAGTACCTGTCCACTGTAGTGACCATTAAGCATCAAAGGGTTAATGTTTACCTCAAACGTACCGTTTTTGGATCAAGCTGCACGCTGAGGTTACACGTTTTATTACATCTGAGGATGTTGTGCAGAGCATGGGCCACTGCATACACTCCTTTATACATATTATTAAATATGGGCATCAGTGACATGTCAGTGAAAGTGTTTTGAACTCCAGTCAGATCCTCGTGTCCGGTACATTCTTTCTGAATCTCCTCTGATCCTGACTGCTTGAATTTACAGCTGAACAACGCCTCCCAGAACTCTGTGAAGAAGTCACTCTTTGAAACGTTGAGAGGCTTCACATCCAGCATGAACTCTCTAAAACCACTGATATGTGCTTTGGGAATAGAAAGACCTATAGCTCCATCCAGAATGTGATTCTTATCCCCTGCAGCGGTTTGGAAATCAAAGATCCAGGCCTCAGTACCGACCCACTGGTACCCTGTCAAGTTGTGTTTGGAAAAATGATGTATGATCACATCCATGTCAGCTTGAGAGAGGAAAGCAACAATCACCTTTGAGGTTGAGGCCTTGATTACGTCAATTATATTTTGTATTTTTTCTATTGGGTCCGTTCTAAAGAAAGCAACAGAATACTCCAGACAGATGCCGAGCTGCTGTGCATTTTCAATGAACGTTGCCATGCCGTTGTTGCCATAATCATCGTTGGTTCTAACAGCTCCAACCCAAGTCCAATCAAAGTGTTTCACCAAATGGGCCAGAGCTCTGCTTTGATAGTGGTCACTGGGTATGGTTCTGAGAAACGAGGGGTACTTAGTCTTGTCACTGAGACAAGCGCAGGTAGCAAAGTGGCTGATCTGAAAAATAATAAATGTTCACAGATAAAAATGTCTGAATTTTTTAAAGTGGATCAAAGTAAACAAAATATGACATCAGAAAGAATAACATGAGTCATATTCAACAGTCCTGCTCACCAGTGGAATATAGAATGAACCAATAGCGGTAGCAATTGCTGTACTGGGAGATGAAGACGCTTCTCCCATTATGGCCTGCACTTGTGCAGGTCTTGAGCAGGCTTTGGAGGGAGCAGACACATTTTCATTACTGTTAAGCAATGCCAGTGCAACTTGTACACTTCTGGCATTGGAGCCACAAGTATCATATATTTTGTAGCCCAGAAAAATCTCCGGCAGAAGGTCTGAGCTGTTGTTTATCTCCTCAATAGCAAAACGCATTGCCTGGGCTAACTGGAATTCTCTGAAATTCAAACTTGATTCAGACAATTATAAATAAATGGCACAATAATTTGTGTCTTCTGGAAATAAAGGCAGTGAAAATTGTTAATACGCATTGTAATAAGAAAGTTTATTTATTCCAACAAATGTGAGAATGTTTCATTAAAAGCAGATTTAAAAGAAAACATTTTACCTTGTACATTGCAGTGGCAGAGGTTTAAATGAGTATGTTTCTCGTTTCTCTTTCCAGTTGTTGTGGAAGGAGAAAAGTCCACCCAAAATAATGTCACCCTCTTTGACCAGTTGGGGCTTTTCAGTGTCTCCAATCTGTCTGCAGTCAAGCTCTTCGTTGTGAGTAAGTGATACCATCAGCAGCAGGTAGAAGAGCCCCAAACTCTGATCTGCTAGTTTAGCAGATGTCATGCTGAGCAGAAACGTCAAACAGCTGGGTGGCGTCACAGGAATATTAGTGCAAGCTCCAAATGTTCACTGATATTTATGCAATTAGGAGCAGCAAGCACATAACACAAAAACGTCAGTCTCCGTGGACCTGGTTTACTAAGATGGCCCAAAAGAACAAAAAATAAATAAATAGATTTAAACTGAGTTCGTTGAACGTAGCCTACTGTGGAAAGAACTCATCTTTTTAAAATTATGTATCTTTTATTTATTTATTGGGGGGGGGGAGGGGGGTATTGGTTTGCTAAAGCTTTTATTTCTCTCATTTTTTTACATTTTTTCCAACATAAAGAAAAAAAATCATCCCTCCGTCCTCACCAGGGTTGCAGGGAGCTGGTTGTATATCTCCAGTGGCCATCAGGCGAGAAGTTGGTGACACTTGGACAGGTCACCACCCCATCACTGGGCACATTTCAACCACTCCATTATAAAACTATTCAGACTCTCATCCATGAAGCATTGCTGCTGAAGCACATGAACCCATCACAAAGCGGGTTAACATGCAGCTAGAGAAAACCAAATTATTGCCACAGTCAGAATAAATTCTGACTTTTGAAGCGCATGTATACACCATGGTCTGGAAGAAGTCAACCCAAACTGGCCTTCTCCTGATCAAGCTAAGGCACTCAAGTTGAAAAATCGAGTTCCTCTACATGTCAGTATCATCCCAGCCTAGCCGAGCTATGACCCACCTGGGCACTTCCCCATCCTAAAGTGATGGTTGTGCAGCGCACCAGGCTAAAGACCAAATTTGCTGCTGTGGCTCCCAGACTCTGGACCTCTCCCCCTGAGCTTGAGATCAGTGGACTCAGTGGTCTCCTTTAAAAATCATCTGAAATGAATCTGTTCAGACAGGCTTTTGTATGACCTTCTGTTGATTCTTCATCACTACCTTTTTTATGCTGCTGTTTCTAACAACTCTGCCTTTCTCAGGATCCCATTTTACATATTTTCATTCATTTTTGTATTTCTTCTAATTTTTTTCCCCCAATTTTTGGTGCAAGAGATGGACAGATGAGTCGGGGATTTGTTTACAGTAATGAGGGTGGTGTTGCAGCACTTCAATATTTTCATGACTTCTCCAGATGTTCTAGATGTATTTAAACACCTGCGGTGATTGTATTTAGGTGTCTTTTGCATGGACTTCAATTGATTCTGCATCACTACCTTCTCTACATTCATTTTTTTTCATTTACCTCACTTTTTTAATCACACTTTTTACTTTTCCAATTTTAAAAATATCTTTAGTCATGTAATTTTTTTGTCCTTGAGAAATCTTTGTGGTTTTTGTCTTGAGAGGCACAATATAAAAATGTAAATCCATACAATATATTTCTCATTTGCAAAATAAAGTAGGCTTAAGCGGGTGTTTTTTGGGTTACATAAACTGTATTTACGATGCCAATGATAAAGTGCACAAACACATTTAAAATGTAAGAACACAGACTGATTAGCACACTGAATTGAATAAGACAACAATATATTTAGATTCATGAAAACTGGAAATCAATGCAAAATCTTTCAAGACATTTGTGTCACATTTTGGAGGGATGGTAGAAACCAAATTGCAGAAACCCAGGATGACACGAGGCAGGAGATGATGTAAAGTAAAATCCTTTATTTTAAGGTGAACCAAAAACCAAGTAAATCCAAAGGGGTGGGGAGCCAATATCCAAAAGCTCACTTCATGAGCAGAGACCCAGAGACCAGGAGGGAGAGACAAAACCAACGCTGACATAAAACAACAATGGACCGACAAGAACAATGAGACAAGGAGGGCTTATATAGACAGGGAGGAGCAATTAGGGAAACAGGAAGCAGGTGTGTGGAGTGAGGCTGGAGGGAAGGCAGGTGACAACAATTATCTGGATGGGGAAGAGAACCAGTGGAGGGCAGAAAAACCTAAAACTATATAAAACACAAAACTAAACCTAAAGGCTAAGAGAAGGACTCACACAAACACATACACATACTGACACAACAAACTCGTACACACTTACAATGAACTGGGGAACAAGAGACTGGAGCTACAACTTAAGACACACAGCAGAGATGCAGACAAGGGACACATGAGGGCGGTAAGAGAACACAAAAGGAGAGCAAGGAGTGGGAACTGAAGGAGCTGGGGAACAAATGGGCCATTCCCATCTGTACCGGGTCGGGCCGGGTAGCGTAGGTTGTTTACATATCTGGGTGGCCTGGTATTTTTCCGGGCCAACCAAGGCTCATTCTCAGCCCTCTTCTCGAGGGGGTCTGCTTCAGGCCAACCAGGGCCAACACACCCACTGCTGACAGCAAATTCACACCTTCCATTAGAGCAAGCCTCTGATTGGTGGGTAGAATCAGCCCACATGGGCTTAAGGCAAGGATGTGTGGAATCAACCAGGCCAGGCTGGGGCCGACTGGGGCTACCCGGCCCGGGCCAACCCGGTACAGATGGAAATGGCCCAAAAGGGACACAGAACATGACAATTTGACTTTGTTGATGAAGTAGACGAAGCAAATATAATGACTCAAGGAGGTTCAATAATGTATTTCATAAATAGAAGAAAATTGTGAAAAAAAGACCTTTAATATTGTGTCACTTTCTATTATCAGGAACCCTTAGGAAGTCCCTTTCCCATCATGTTCTTCTTTGTGTTTTTCTCTGGCTTCATCAACATGATGTAACACTTTGGGATGAAAATACAAATTAACAATCCTAAGCTAGAAGCTAGAATAGCAAAGATTTCAACAGCAACACTGAACTTTCCAGGGGAGCTGACATACGCTGGGATGAAAGTGATCCAAACGGCACAGAATATCAACATGCTGAAGGTGATGAATTTAGCTTCGTTGAAGTTATCGGGCAGTTTACGAGCCAGAAAAGCAAAAATGAAACACAACACAGCCAGAAGTCCAATGTACCCGAGCACAGACCAGAAGCCCACAGCCGAGCCCAGAGAACACTCCACGATGATTTTGTCTTTAAAATCTTTCAAATTTTCAGATGGAAACGGAGGAGAAATGGTCAACCAGAGGATACATATGATCACTTGTATAAAAGTGAAACCCAGAACACTGAGTCTCTGCTGAGTAGGCCCAAACCATCTCATGATGTTTGTCCCTGGAAGTGTTGCTTTAAATGCCATTAGGACCACCATGGTTTTCCCCAGAACACAGGAGATGCAGAGGACAAAGGCAATACCAAAGGCTGTGTGACGAAGCATGCAGGACCACTCTGATGGACGTCCGATGAAGGTCAGAGAGCAGAGGAAACACAGAGTCAAGGAGAAGAGCAGCAGGAAGCTCAGCTCTGAGTTGTTAGCTCTGACTAGAGGAGTGTTTCTGTATCTGAAGAAAATGAAAGCTACAGCAGCAGTCAGACATGTTCCAAATCCAGTGGCTGCAGCGAGAAGAGCTCCCATAATCTCTTCATATGACAGAAACTCAGTCTTCTTCATCACACAGGTGTCTCTTTCCTCATTTGACCAGAATTCTGGGGGACATCTCACACATGTGATGGCGTCTGACAAAGCGGGCGAAACAAGTTTTAAAACCTACCATTAAGAAACCTCTTTATTATAGAACAGGATGACTTAATCAAAGTTTTCAGACTTAAAGGGATATTCCACCCAATAGTAACATTTTGTCTGTTGACATATTCCCCACAGGACAGCAGAAGCTTACAGCTGGGCTTTGTCATAATGTAGTCCCAAGTCTAAGACTAAAATGAAGCCTGTGTTTAATTTGTGTTACATAGTTTATTTACTTGCAGTTAATATGATTATTGAGGTCACAAAGCAGAATCACTGTTGAGTCATTTTAATGATTTTTTTTCACACTCAAGGCTAGTCGGTGCCATTCACTTACACTGTTTTATGCCAAGCTAAAGCTAAAAGAGTACTGATGGATTAAGAAAATGACCGGGCTGGTTAGTAGTTGTTTTTCCTACTTATCTATGGAGAATATGGCAACAGACAACATTTTACATTTTGGTGGAACTTCTCTTTCAGAATGCATATAAAGTTTTCGAACTATGCTCTTAAAAGCCTTTCCACAAACCCAAAGTGGTTAATTGAATTACGTATTTTTTAACTAACTTTGGATTAGGGTTGTCACGGTAACCGGTGTAGCGGTAAACCCCGGTAAAAAAGTTGACAATAATAATAACCGTCTTGTTTTTTTAAAAATATTTTATCTCGGTGGATTACCGTGGCTGTGGTGTAGGCGCGGTGACCCTTACCAGCCACCGTGTCATCTGCTAAAGTTGCCGAAGGCACATGCGTACTTTGTTGTTTACAACCAAAACTTTTAAGCTAAAGCTGAAATAACGGCCAAAGGAGGAGATGGCAGTGTGCAAGACATTCATTATCCATCAAAGAAGACAAAGTCGGAAGTACGGGCATCTTTTGGATATTTGAAGAATGCCGAGGGACAGCTGATAGAAGACGGCTATCCTGTTTGCAGCACTTGCAGGAAAAAGTGTCTGTGAAAGGCAGCAACGCTTCAAATCTCATGACACATCTGCGTGACCATCACCCACAACTCTACAGTTAACGCAAAGCAAGTTAACGTTAGCATTTTAGCTAAAATGCGTGATCCGAGGATTTGGGTTGAGGGAGAACACAACGAGTCGCTATATAAAGCAGCCGCAGCGCTGCTACCTGCATATAAACCGTGTCGCGGACACCCCCATGTTGAAATGACGCTATGCATTACGGGGCTCCCAGGGGCAGATAAGAGTTGGTCTCTCTCCGAGAATAATTATGAATTTAACAATGATTACTGCCTGATGACATTTTCCCAACTCTCACTGGAAGGACACAAACCGAGGACAATATTTTCCTTATATAGGGTTTATTACTCAAGTAAGGGTAAAAAAGTATCTGATTAGAAGGCTACTTGAGTACCGAGTATCATCTGATCTAATATTGTTAAAATGATGACATCAAACAGACAAAAATAAGTTATGGGCAAATATTGTATTTTAAAGACTAAAGGGGACAAATGTAAACAAATAAACAACATAATTATCAAATAAAAAATTTTAGGCACAATGTAGACATAAACTGAGGACAATATTTTCCTGATATACAAGTTTATTTAGTTGTCTGAAAATGTAAAACGCTTAAAAAAATACCGCGATAATACCGAAAACCGTGATAATTTTCGTCACGATAACCATGAGGTTAAATGTTCACACCGTGACAACCCTACTTTGGATACACACATTTGCTCTTCATTTCTTTATGATCATAAAGACATTGCATAAACTAAACAGCACCAACCTGTGATGTTGCTAATTTCTCCCTCTGCACACCATACACAGTCATGGCAGCAAACGGGTTTTCCTTTCTGCAGAACCTTTCGTGTTCCTGGACGACAGTTCTCGCTGCAAATTGATGTAGGAACCTGCATGCGTGAAAAAAAGTAGAAGAAGAAAATGAATGATGAAAATTGTCATCCTAGCTTTTCGCTTTCTTATTTCAACAATTTTAAATCCTTGATTTCATAATAAAACACTAATGAAAAATCAGTTGTATGAGATGAGAGATTACCTGAAGAGACCGTTGTGCCCAAGTCAAAGACTTGTTTAGCAAATTCATTTGTTTCTCTGCAGGTAAAGATGCATCATAAACACCGACTGTGACAAAGTCCACGTGGCCGTTTGGTTTTGGCTGCCAGTTGATAATCTCATACTTAGCTACTGGATCACCGTTCTCATTAAAGTACACCTCATCTCCTTCCTTCGTCTTAAAGGCAACCTTTCGGATTTGCTGTAAAACCTATGATTTATCAGAAATTATACCATTTAAAACATCACATCACATTAGCTCAGAAAAATGACAAAAATATTTACTAAAATGTGCTTTGCTTGTGTTTTGGATAGTTAAATCACATTTATGTTAAAAGCAGGTGAAAATAAGTAACATGTTAACATCAGGCTCACCATGAGTGGCTCTAGCTTCACACTGTTGTTACATGTTTCTTTACACTCAAGAATATTATGCAAAGCATGGGCCACTGCATACACTCCTTTATAGACATTGTTAAAAATGGGCATGTGTGACATGTCAGTAAAAATGTTTTCCACTCCAGTCAGATCCTCATGACCGGTACATTCTCTCTGAGGCTCTCCAGCCTGCGAAAGTTTGAATTTACAGCTAAATAAAGCCTCCCAGAACTCTGTGAACAAACCATCATCTGATGAATTAAGTGGCTTCACATCCAGCATGAATTCTGCAAGCCCACTAACATGTGCTTTAGGGATGTAAAGCCCTATCGCTCCATCCAAGATGTGATTTTTATCCCTTGTTGCAGTTTGAGAGTCAAAGATCCATGCCTCAGTACCGACCCACTGGTAACCCGTCAAGTTGTTTTTGGACAACTCGTATACAATTACTTCCATATCCATGTGAGAGAGAAAAGCCACAATGACTTTTGACGTTGAGGCCTTGATAATGTCAATGATCTTTTGTATTTTTTCTGATGAATCTGTTCTAAAGAAAGGCAGAGAGTACTCCAAGCAAATTCCAACTTCTAGGGCAGTTTCAGTGAAAATAGCCATGCCGTTATTCCCATAATCTTCATTTGATCTTATAGCTCCAACCCAAGTCCAACCAAAGTGTTTGACCAAGTGGGCCAGAGCTCTGCTCTGATAGTGATCACTGGGTATGGTTCTGAGAAACGATGGGTACTTCGATTTATCACTGAGGCAAGCACATGTAGCATAGTGGCTGATCTAAAATATAATAAATTTATCATTTTAAGATCTTTTTCACACATTTGACTAACAAAATAATGCATTTCTATAAGGTTTCCATGATACCCACCAGTGGGATATGAAAAGGTCCGATAACGGTGGATATCGCCATGCTCGGAGAGGAGGAGGCTTCTCCCATTATAGCCTGAACTTGTGCAGGTTTGGTACATGCCTTTAGGGTTGCAGGATCGTTTTCATTACCATTAATCAAGGCCAGAGCAGCTTTTATGCTTCTGGCATTGGAGCCACAGGTATCATACACATTATAGCCCAGAGAAATCCCTGGTAGTAGATCTGAGCTATTATTTATCTCCTCAATAGCAAAACGCATAGCCTGGGCTAACTGGAATTCTCTGAAATTTAAACTTCATTCAGACAATTATTAACAAATTGCATAATAATCATTGTCCTCTGGAAATAAACACAATAAAGTGAAATTGATAGTCTAAATGTGGACATACAGTAACTATATTTCTAAAGATCTTGTAATATTATTTGCACCTATATTGTAAATTATTTTCGGCCTTCAAAGAAAACTGAATTGTAGTTTACCTTATGCACTGAAGTGGCTTTGGTTTTTCCATGAAGTTTTCCTTAATTTCTTTCCAGTTCGTATGGAAAGAGAAGAGTCCACCCAGCACAATGTCGCCATCCTTAAGTAGTTGAGGGTTTTCAATGTCTCCTATCTGTTTACATGTGTGTTCATCAGCTACAGCAACAGATGACACCAACAACACATGTAACAGTGCCCATCCCTGCTCTGGCCACCTCTGTGTGAACGTCATGCTGAGTGAGTCAAACCGCTGGCTGGCATCGCAGGTGTATCAGTGTACATGCACTCATATTTATACTGTTGGTAGTAGCACAAGGTAAAGGTAAAAAAAAAGCATAGTCCCTTATCTTTGGACTGTAAAGATGGAGGAACACTAAAGATGTCCGCAACTGTTTTTTTCATGCATCACACATAAAGGCTGCACACAAGTCTAAGATACAGTTTTATTCCAATTATAAAGCTAAGGTAGTTTTGTAGTAAAACACCAAACTTTCTTTTGTCGCTTTCCGACACCCGCGGTAAAACGGAGATTTCACAGACATTTAACCTCAAACCTTTAGCGATTAAACCTTCCCCTCGCCCCCATCATAACCTTAACCCAGTTTGTCATTCTAAATTTCCCGTTAACCGTGTTTGAGAGAAACGATACAACTAAAAACAAAGTTTTGCGTGTGCAAGTGGGTTAAGGTTAGGATGGGGGCGAGGAGAAGGCTAAATCGCTGGAGGTTAGAGGTTAAATGTCAGTAAAATCTCCGTTTTACCGCGGTCGTCGAAAAGCGACGCTGTGGCACAGCGCGTCGCCTCCCGACACATTGGGGCTGCCACCGCGTCGGAAACAAACGTTTGGTCACCTTTTGCTAGTTTTAGCGTCTTCGGGTGTGAGAACGTGTTGGATAGTTCCTTTTCTATACTAACTAGTTCAAAGTTCAGTTTAAACCTTTCAAAATGAACAAGTTAAGGTCATAGTTCGTAACTGAAATTTTTTAATTAAATTCAAAGTTTCCAAAACTGACCTAGTAGTTTTCTTTTTGTTTCAATGCACTGTGGCAAGTTGTCACTCTCAGAAACTCTATAGTTTCCTCCTACTCAGAAATGGTGTGACTCTGTGCCCTGCTGAAAAACCAGCAGAGACCAGCATACGTTGTGTTTTCATGCTGGTTTAGCTGGTGGACCAGCAAACAATTGGGCCATTCCCATCTGTACCGGGTCGGCCCGGGCCGGGTAGCCCCGGTCGGCCCCAGCCTGGCCCGGTTGATTCCACACATCCTTGTCTTAAGCCCATGTGGGCTGATTCTACCCACCAATCAGAGGCTTGCTCTAATGGAAGGTGTGAATTTGCCGTCAGCAGTGGGTGTGTTGGCCCTGGTCGGCCTGAAGCAGACCCCCTCGAGAAGAGGGCTGAGAATGAGCCTTGGTTGGCCCGGAAAAATACCAGGCCACCCAGATATGTAAACAACCTACGCTACCCGGCCCGGGCCGACCCGGTACAGATGGGAATGGCCCAAGAGCTGATCCAGTATGCTGGTCCAGCACCCCAGCACCAGCATCCCATGCTGGACCAGCGCTATAAAAACACAGGGCATTTTACCATACACATGATATTTTAAAGTCATTCATCATTTATTACATGTTGAGATAAGATAAATTTCTTCTTTATGATATCAAATGAAACATGAGATGGAACATTACCATCTCAAACCGAACACACATTTTTAGGATGCATTGTTTGCTCTTGCTTTCTGTTGGAAGAGCTAAATCTTGACAACTTTTTAATTTAAAGAAAGTGTTTAACTCATATGATTACAGTAAAGGGGCTGCACAGTGGCGCAGTGGTTAGAGCTGTTGCCTTGCAGCAAGAAGGTCCTGGGTTCGCTTCCCGGCTTGGGATCTTTCTGCATGGAGTTTGCATGTTCTCCCTGTCCGTGCGTGGGTTCTCTCCGGGTATTCCGGCTTCCTCCCACAGTCCAAAAACATGACTGTTAGGTTAATTGTTTGTCCTGTGTGTCTCTGTGTTGCCCTGCAATGGACTGGCACTTTGTCCAGGGTGCACCCTGCCTGATTGGCCATTGACCCGCGGAGATAGGCACCATGGATGGATGGATTACAGTACAGACAGCATTAAGTAATACAAGGAAAATAAACTCATTCAACCATATGTCAAAAATAAAAAAATGCATGCACTACAAAAAAATATTGATACCTTAAACTTATATTTGTCAGTGAAAAAAAGCAACTAGAGCTCTAGTTCCTCTGCACATTTACAATGACTCATGAAAAACTAATTTTAAGACAGATTCCTGAAAAGAAAGATGAAGAACATTTGAAATGCCTTCTAAAACACGCTTTTCTGCTCTAGGGGGATTTTGGTGTCCCCTTTCCCATCATGTTCTTCTTTGTATTTCTTTCTGGTTTTAGCAACATTATATAACATTTTGGAACAAAGATACAAATTAGCAAACCAAAGCTAGAAGCTAGAATAGCAAAGATTTCTACAGCGACACTGAACTTTCCAGGAGAGCTGACATAGGCTGGGATGAAAGTGATCCATACAGCACAGAATATCAACATGCTGAAGGTGATGAATTTAGCTTCGTTAAAATTATCAGGTAGTTTACGAGCCAGAAAAGCAAAAATGAAACACAACACGGCCAGAAGTCCAATGTACCCGAGCACAGACCAGAAGCCCACAGCTGAACCCAGAGAACACTCCAAGATGATTTTATCTTTGTATTCCTTTAAGTTTGTTGATGGAAAAGGAGGAGAAATGACTAGCCAGAGGATACATATGATCACTTGTATAAAAGTTAAACCCAGAACACTGAGTCTCTGCTGTGTAGGCCCAAACCATTTCATGATGTTTTCTCCAGGAAGTGTAGCTTTAAAGGCCATTAGGACCACCATGGTTTTCCCCAGAACACAGGAGATGCAGAGAACGAAGGTGATGCCGAAAGCTGTGTGGCGAAGCATGCAGGACCACTCTGATGGACGTCGGATGAAGGTCAGAGAGCAGAGGAAACACAGAGTCAAGGAGAAGAGCAGCAGGAAGCTCAGCTCGGAGTTGTTAGCTCTGACTAGAGGAGTTTTTCTGTATCTGAAGAAAATGAAAGCTACAGCAGCAGTCAGACATGTTCCAAATAAGGAGGCGGCAGTAAGAAGTGATCCCATCATCTCTTCATATGAGAGAAATTCAGCCTCTTTTGTTTCACAAGCATCTCTTCTGTCATTTGACCAGAACTCAGGGGGGCATCCCACACAAGAGATGGAATCTGAAAAAAAGTTCAAAATAAGAACAAACAAACAGCAACGTTGTTTATGTCAATAACTTAAGAACAGGAACATTAAAATTAAATATGTCCTGGTCCCAATAGATCTATAGCATGTTTTACAAGATGGCAACATGAGATCCTGAATCAAGATCATCTAACCAAAATATTGTGATGGATATAAAACAACCGTAATCATCTTTAAATGGGTACTTTGCTATTTGGCTTGCTTTAGCACCCCCTAGTGTCTGTTTAGTAAAATCAAAAGGCAAACATGTCTCCTCAGCCTTCATTAGATTCTACAGGAGTGATTTATTATTAAATCAAACAAATCAGCTGTGGTCATGATCTAAAACATGCAGGAAACGTACTGGACGTAGTCTACAGCAGTGCCATGTCAGCTCCAACAGGGACCGGACCGGCCCTCTGATGTTGCAAGCGTGATATATCTGAGTGAAATGTCATAAACCCTGTAAAGGTTCATTTTAGCACAAACTCGCTAAAGAAAATGATTTAAAAATATGAAAAAGTTGCATAGTATGGCTTTAATGCTAAGGAATGCTATAAATATTGGAATCCCTCTGTTTTTAGTAATCTGTTGAGTTTAGTTACAACAACTAAAGTAACTAGAATGGAAAATTTGGAAATCAAAGACCTAAGAAATAATATTGCACCGATTATCACTTTCTTTGCTTGTTAAATGTACGAACAGTTAAAATGCATTTTCTAAATTAGTTTCCATTTACAAAATTTGACATTTGTTTACTTAGCTCGACATAATGCACATGCTGTTACATTTTTGTGATTTTTTTAAGGAAACATTTGAATTTGAAATCTTTCTTCATAAGTGAAAGCCTTCTTTAAAAAAAACTGAGCACAAACAACCCATTTATTCATTAACGTATAACCGGATCAAAGTGTAAAACAAAGAATATTAAACCTGTAATGTTGCTTATTTCTCCCTCAGCACACAAAATGCAGTCATGGCAACACACAGGTTTTCCTTTCTGCAGAACTTTCCTTGTTCCTGGAGGACACTGTTCACTGCAAACTGATACAGGAACCTGCATGAACATTTTAAATATAGAAAGATAATGCAGTGATAAATATCGTCCATCTAAAAGTTGTCTTTCCATTTCAATAAATCAAATTCTGGAATTATTAACCATGAAAACGATGGACTAAAGTATTTGTTTTTAGTGTGCAGATTACCTGAAGAGACCTTTGTGCCCAAATTAAAGACTTATTTTGCAAATTCATTTGTTTCTCTGCAGGTAAAGATGCATCATAAACACCGACTGTGACAAAGTCCACGTGGCCGTTTGTTCTTGGCTGCCAGTTGATAATCTCATACTTAGCTACTGGATCACCGTTCTCATTAAAGTACACCTCATCTCCTTCCTTCGTCTTAAAGGCAACCTTTCGGATTTGCTGTAGAATCTGAAAAGCATCAAAATGCATTATAACACAATAAAATATTATTATATTAGCTCAATAATATGATAAAAGCAAAACATTTTTTGGCTAACTTACAATTTTAAGTTGTCAATCTGTCTGAAAAACTTTTAAACTTGTCTAAAATAATTTCATATTTTTTCTCTAAAGTCTCTGGAAAATGTTTATGAAGGCGATTTTTTTTTTTTATAATTTATCTGTTTTATTCAAACTGCGAGAGGCTAAATGACATTCATCTCACAGCAGATGAGAATTGGTGAAGAAACTACATTATCAGGCTCACCATGAGTGGCTCTAGCTTCACACTGTTGTTACATGTTTCTTTACACTCAAGAATATTATGCAGAGCATGGGCCACTGCATACACTCCTTTATAGACATTGTTAAAAATGGGCATGTGTGACATGTCAGTAAAAATGTTTTCCACTCCAGTCAGATCCTCATGACCGGTACATTCTCTCTGAGGCTCTCCAGGCTGCGAAAGTTTGAATTTACAGCTAAATAAAGCCTCCCAGAACTCTGTGAACAAACCATCATTTGATGAATTAAGTGGCTTCACATCCAGCATGAATTCTGCAAGCCCACTAACATGTGCTTTAGGGATGTAAAGCCCTATCGCTCCATCCAAGATGTGATTTGCATCCCCTTTTGCAGTTTGAGAGTCGAAATTCCATGCCTCAGTACCGACCCACTGGTAACCCGTCAAGTTGTTGGCTGACAGCTTGTGAATAATGACATCCAAGTCCATGTTTGCAAGAAAAGCCACAATGACTTTTGACGTTGAGGCCTTGATAATGTCGATGATCTTTTGTATTTTTTCTGATGAATCTGTTCTAAAGAAAGGCAGAGAGTACTCCAAGCAAATTCCAACTTCTAGGGCAGTTTCAGTGAAAATAGCCATGCCGTTATTCCCATAATCATTATTTGATCTTATAGCTCCAACCCAAGTCCAACCAAAGTGTTTGACCAAGTGGGCCAGAGCTCTGCTCTGATAGTGATCACTGGGTATGGTTCTGAGAAACGATGGGTACTTCGATTTATCACTGAGGCAAGCACATGTAGCATAGTGGCTGATCTGAAATATAATAAATATATTATTTTAAGATCTTTTTCACACATTTGACTAACAAAATAATGCATTTCTATACGGTTTCCATGATACCCACCAGTGGGATATGAAAAGGTCCGATAACGGTGGATATCGCCATGCTCGGAGAGGAGGAGGCTTCTCCCATTATAGCCTGAACTTGTGCAGGTTTGGTACATGCCTTTAGGGTTGCAGGATCGTTTTCATTACCATTAATCAATGCCAGAGCAGCTTTTATGCTTCTGGCATTGGAGCCACAGGTATCATACACATTATAGCCCAGAGAAATCCCTGGTAGTAGATCTGAGCTATTATTTATCTCCTCAATAGCAAAACGCATAGCCTGGGCTAACTGGAATTCTCTGAAATTTAAACTTCATTCAGACAATTTCAAATAATTGGTACAATAAATGGGGTCTTCAGAAAATAAAAACATTGCAGTAGAATGACATGCAGCATATAACATCATTAATATAAACAGTTTATTTTAAGTTCATGTACATTTTTCATCGTATTGTTGCACCCAGGAGTTTAATATTTTAAGATATTTATGTCATAAATAGATTACTGCAGCATAGTTTACCTTATGCACTGAAGTTGTTTTGGTTTTTCCATGAAGTTTTCCTCTATTTCTATCCAGTTCGAATGAAAAGAAAAGAGTCCACCCAACATCATGTCTCCATCTTTAAATAGCTGAGGGTTTTCAACGTATCCTGTCTGCCTGCATTCAGAGTCCTCAGCCACAGAGTCAGATATCACCAACAATAAATGTAAAAGTGCCCATCGCTGCCCTAGCCACATATGTGTGAACATCATGCTGAGTGAGAGAGTCACTCTGTGGGTGGCACCAGATATGTAGAAGGAGAACATTTGCACAGTGATTTATGTTTTCAGGAAAACGAGGCATAGCCTCAATGCAGCAAATGTCTTTTTCTCTCTGTGGACCTACAAGGTGGAGCAACGGTGGACAAGCCCCCACAATGCGGGTGAAAAATTGAAGCAAACCCGGAAATGAAATAAATTGCAGTTCCACCCTCGTCCACTAGGGGCTGGTGTCAGAAGCGAGCAAATCCTCATTAACTCCCATGTTAAAAATACCAATTTCACAGCAGAAATAAACATGTTTACAGCCTGGTACCAAAACATGTTTTTGGTTTAAATGATCTAGTTTACACTCATGACAACTCTGAGGGGGGTGAATTTTTTTTCTCACTCTTCTGTTTAAAGTGTATTAAAAGCCTAAAAATCTTTATAATTAATGAGCATCAGACCCACGTGACCACAGAGCTAGCTCCGGGGAAAGGCCTCAGTCTGAGCCTCGGCCTCGCCTGAAAACTGTTCGGTCATTTTCAGTCTCTCAACTTAGACCATTTGTAGTAATGTTTGTGCGTTCTTTTTTGGATATTTTTTGTGCAATTGTTGGACAAAATGACTTGCTGTGGCATTAAGTGAACTAATAGAGCATCCAAGGAGTCTCCAATTCATTTTTTTGGTAGGTAAAATTATATTCATGTATTTTAGGTCACTGCCGAGCTGAGCTTAGATTTTAACATGTACTGTTTAACCATGAAATTTAAATGTAATTGGGTAAAACCCCAGTGCATTTAACATAATGCTGCACTTTAGAAAATGGGTTGAAATATAACATGTTGGTGGAGCTGGGTTCCGACTATCGGCTTGTGGAGCTCTCGGGAGACCGATGTTTTCCACCCGTTTCTCCCCTCCCCCGCAGCTCGGCGCATCTTCTGTGTGCTGCGCGGGCTGCTGGCTTGTGGAGCTCTGGATGGAAACCTTTCCACCCGGTTCTCCCCAGCGGCAGCTCTGCGCATCTCAAATCGCAGCGGCGCTTGTCTGCTGTGAGGCTGCCGGCTTGTGGAGCTCTCGGAGACCTCTGTGTTCCACCCAGTTCTCCCCAGCGGCAAGCCCGGCGTATCTCTGACTCAGAAGCTCTGGTGTTGTGCACAGTTAACTCCGGTTGTAGCTAGGATGCTATCTCCGTTAGCTTAGCTCCCACCTCCGCGTAAGCTTCAGGTTAGCTTGTAGCTAGTTCGACCGGGTGTCGTCAGTTGATCCGAGCCTTACAGCCCCACCCTCAGCTCCACCTCTTTTCCCTTTTATGGAATTGTCTGGGCTTGATGGAACCTGTGACACGGTCAAAATGGCGGTGGTGGCCACCTCCCATTTCTCTTCCAAAACGTGTTATTGGAGTCTATGGAAACCCATTGTCCAATATTTATTTGTCGATGATGGTGGACTGGATCTGTTTTATTTCCAGGGAAGACAAATAGGCCAAAATTATTGTCTAGTAATGAAAAACTGCCTAAGAAAATAAAATAAAAAATTGAATAAATAAAAACATTCTTTTTTGTATGTCCTTACTTTTCTTGTTTCGATCTCATGGGAATATAAAATAGTTCATTATACAGGTGCTGGTCATAAAATTTGATTTTCATGATATAGTTTGTTTATCTCATTAATTCCATTCAGAAAGTGAAACTTGTATATTAGATGCATTCAGTACACACATACTGATACATTTCAAATGATTTTTCTTTAATTTTGGTAAAAACTCACAATTAATTAAAATCCCAAATTCAGTATTTCGGACCTTTAGAATATTGTGAAAAGGTTCAATATTGAAGACCCCCTGGTGCCACACTGTAATCAGCTAATTAAAGCAAAACAACTGCAAAAACCTTTAAATGGTCTCTCAGTCTAGTTCTGTAGGCTACACAATCATGGGGAGGACAGCTGACTTGACAGCCGTCCAAAAGACAACCATTGACACCTTGCACAAGGAGGGCAAGACACAAAAGGTCATTGCTTAAGACGGCTGACTGTTCACAGACCTCTGTATCCAAGCACATTGATAGAGAGTTGAAGGGAAGGAAGATATGTAGTAGAAATAAGTGTACAAGCATTAGAGAAAACTGCACCCGTGGAGAGGATTGTAAAACAAAACCTATTCAAAAACTTGGGAAGATTCACAAAGAGTGGACTGCAGCTGGAGTCTGCATGCTTCAAGAACCACCATGCACTGTTGTATGCAAGACATGGTTTCACCTGTCACAGTTACTCTTGAACAAGAGAAGTGTGGGAGAAGTCAGAAGCGTGTCACCTGGGCTAAAGACTCTTCAACTCTATCCATTCTACAAAACTGTGAAGTGTGGTTTTCTGGTCAGCAGACGGTTGAAAAGTGCTGTCCACTCTGAAGATGGTACCTCAAGAATCATTAAAACCAGTTTAAAAGTAATAGTTGAAAGTGTTGAAAACTCTTTAATTTTGCTTTGAAGTTTCCATCTGCTGGTGTAAGGAGGGGCTTATCAGGAAACCAAAAAATAATAATAATAATAAAAATAAATAACAGAGATGTGTTTTTGGTGTGTGTTTTCCAGGCATAGGCGTAGAGGTACAACAAAACTAACTCTTTAAAATAAAATTTTGAAGATTATGAATGAATTAGTATTCATTAAAAGTCTATTAAAAGTATTCTTTGTAGGTTGCATTAAAATCTCATTAAAATACTTTAAATGGGTGATTAATTGGTAAGTTTGAAGAATTTATAGATATATGTGGATACATTTATAAATATACAGATATTGTTCAGTTAAGTAGAAATTATAATGCATATTTTAAAACAAAAGACACAATTTAAACAAACATATGTGTTTATTCAATTCAACTTATTTATCTTTTGTTTTAAAGTGTCTTTCCGGAGTTTTCTACTTTCAGAAATAATGTATGGTTTTTCAGAAATCTGTAAAAGTGATTATCTTATCATGTACTGTGATATAATGTAAGCAAAATGTCTTTTATTTAATTTTATTCATTTATTTATTTTTTTGCTAAGCACACGCCCTGCCCTGCAGAGCTCCGTGCAATAGGAAACTGATCGCCGACCAGAACTAACTAATAGCGTTAGACTACTGCTTAGCTGCTTCAAATTTAAGGAATACCTCGGCTGATGCAGACTTGATGAATTTTTCGCGGACAAGAAAGTCTTTAAAAAATAAATATATGTAAAGACAACATGACATGAGAATAATTCTTGTAAAACAACGTGTTTTAGCGGTTTGTCGAATACAGAAGAACAAGAAACGTAAAGTCGCCATCTTAAAAAAAACAGAGCAACAGACTTTTTGTGTGATATGCTTGTCAGCCACTAGATGGTGCCATCGAATAAGAGAAATACTGTGGAAAGAGACTAACTTGCAAAGTTGGTAGCTGCAAAAAATACCTTTTTATTCCCCCCACTATGAAATACCTTTTCCAAGCAGGGCCAAAACATGTGATGAGTCATAAAGAGCACAGTGTCAGCCAGTGCAGTTTAGAGATTAAATATTTATTGATGCTTGTGATGTGACAAGAAATATGTTATCTCAAAGACTTCTTAATAAAATATGATATAAAAGCATGGTTAGATTAAGAACTTCTCTAACCAATTGTTAAAAAGGCCTTTGTGGCATTTTACCCATCATGTTCTTCTTTGTGTTATTTTCTGGCCTTAGTAACATGATGTAACATTTGGGGATGAAGATACAAATTAGTAAACCAAAGCTAGAGGCTAGAATAGCAAATATTTCTACAGCAACACTATATTTTCCAGGAGAGCTGACATACGCTGGGATAAAAGTGATCCATACAGTACAGAATATCAACATGCTGAAGGTGATGAATTTAGCTTCGTTGAAGTTATCGGGCAGTTTTCGAGCTAGAAAAGCAAAAACGAAACACAACATGGCCAGGAAACCAATGTACCCGAGTACAGACCAGAAGCCCACAGCTGAGCCCAGAGCACACTCCAAGATGATTTTATCTTTGTATTCCTTAAAGTTCTTAATTGGAAATGGAGGAGAAAGTGTTAACCAGAGTATGCAAATGACAATTTGTATAAGAGTAAAGCCCAGAACACTGAGTCTTTGCTGTGTAGGTCCAAACCATTTCATCAGATTTTCACCAGGTAACGTTGCTTTAAAGGCCATTAAAACCACCATGGTTTTCCCCAGAACACAGGAGAGACACAGAACGAAGGTGATGCCAAAAGCTGTGTGACGAAGCATGCAGGACCACTCCGAGGGCTGGCCAATAAAGGTCAGAGAGCAGAGGAAACACAGAGTCAACGACAGGAGCAGCAGGAAGCTCAGCTCAGAGTTGTTTGCTCTGACTAGAGGAGTTTTCCTGTATCTGAAGAAAATGAAAGCTACAGCAGCCGTCAGACTTGTTCCAAATAACGAGACTGTGGTGAGGAGGATCCCCATAATGTCTTTATATGACAAGAATTCAGCTTCTTTTTTTATGCAAGCGTCTCTCCTCTCATTAGACCAGGATTCGGGGGGGCATCGCACACAAGTGATGGAGTCTGCAAATAAATATTGAGCCATACATTAGAAGTGACCCTAAGATAGATCTGCCAGATGTAAACTTACGTCTTCTAATAAGGTCTGCTCTAAATGGCCTGTATTTGATACAGTGCTTTCAAGAGTTCTAACCCCCCAAGGCACTTTACAACACAATCCTTCATCTACCCACACACATTCACACACTGGGGGTGATGAGCTACATTGTGGCCAAAGCTGCCCAGGGGCACAGTGACAGAAACAAGGCTACTGCACACTGCTGCCACCGGCCCCTCCGACCACCACCAGCATGCAATGTGGAATGTCTTGCCCAAGGACACAACGACAGCATCAGACTGAGTGGGGCTTGAGCCTGCAACCCTCCGGTTACGAGGCGGACACCTTGCTCCTCTACCACCATCGTCCCTCTTAGGCGGTGTTGGGAATATTTAATTATTCAAGCGAGAGCTCAAAAACTGGCAGCTGATTGAAATAAACAATCACAGCTTTACATGGTTCAGACTGTCTTACAATTTGGATCTCCCTCCCTGAGAAAGTAGCACAATCCCTTCATACTTACTACGATGCTGACTGGAGACACAACATTGCCATTAGAAATTAGCATGCCTTTGATCTCAATCAATCTATCAATAAAAGATACTTTATTGATCCCAAAGGGAAATTAGAGTTTCACTACACACAATTCAGAGATCAGACATACATGGGCAAGACACATGACAAGAATTGATGACTGTGGTCATTCGCAACCCTGAGTCGTGCTGCCTTAATAGAGATAAGAGGGTTACATGAGGATTGGTTCAGGCGGAGGGGAAAAAAGGCACTTCAGAGTTACCCTCCACCGGGAGGGCAGCTTTGCACTGCAAAAAAACACCTCAAACATAAATGCAACAGACAACACAACATAAGTGTCCAATAGGAAGGGGGGGGGGATCCTGTTTCCCCCAGCGAGAGCAGCCATCTAAGGCGCTCATCTACTGTACAGTCACAGATGGGAGGGAGATCTTGGGAGAAGCGAAGAGCACATTGACTCCTCCAGCTGATGACCTCGCCAGGCTGAAGTCCACCAATCCGAAGGCGGGGGTGGGGGTGGGTCGGTTTTCACAGCATCTGTCTGCATTCCTTTGTGGGGGTTTCAGTTGGTTAGCATTCAGACTGTGGAAACTCTGGCCTCAATTGACCAGGACATGGATAATTATGACACCACATTTTAAGCAGCTATTCTTGATCTCTAAATAAAGTCAAAGAAACTTCATTAAAGACAGATACAAGGTTCACAATCAATCAGTGCGTTTACTTGCAGCCAGTAACCCTTTTAAAACCCGAATATTCACAATAACCCGGTTCCGCACGGCCATGTAAACACTGCCAAAAACCCGGATATGCTCATAACCGGGTTTTTAAAAACCCGGTTACTACACCTGGGGTAACCCTTTTCTAACCCGAATGTTTGGTCGTGTAAACGCATATCGGGATATCCCCATCGACGTGTGTGTTCTGCGCATGCTCTTTTCGCAAGAAATCTTGGTCTTTTGAGTAGCGAGACATCTTGTATGCGACAGAACATCGGAAGTAAACAACAAGTTGGGAGCAACATGGGGAGTCGCGGCACAGCACCACACTTTTGGAGTGACGAGGAAACTAAAGCGCAAACAAACGCGGTCGCTATCTCTTCCGAACTGGGAAACATGTTGTTGTTTTCACGGATACCGGAACAAGAAGAACCGGAAATGACGCATATTGCGTCTGGACGTAGTCCATACGTCCTGACGCTACCCCAACGTCCGCATTTAAATCGGGTTATGCAAGTTAGGGGTAACTCTTTCTATTTGTGCTTGTAAACGGGTTATTCTGATGAACTCAGAAACCCGAATACCGACCTTAACCCGATCATAACCCGGATATTGGCTGCATGTAAATGTAGTCAATGGCTGTAGGAAATCCTAAAGGATCAAACCGGCACATGATTAGCAACCTCATTTACAACAGAAAAAAAATGCAGATGTCCTTAGAGACAAACCAAAAACCACCCAATACCTCCAAGATCTTTAACCTTATATTTCGCTTCAATCCATTTACTTTAATGCTTTTTAAAGGTGAGACACAGATGTTTTCTTCAAAAACAGAATGTATGAAAAAGAAATGTTAATTAATGAGTGATGTAATTAGGCTAGAATTAAATATTTGAAAACGATCTATCGATTAGATATTGTTGCAATGTGCCTAAATAAACACACGGGGCTGAAAGGCACATTTATTTTGAACCAACTTGCATGAATTCAGAGGTGAAAGTTATTGTTATAATGCATTTTCATTATGGTTCGGATGGGTAAGAATTCTGTTTCCTATAAAAACCTATCAGACCTCTACTATTCTTAACCCTTTGATGCATAATGGTCACTACAGTGGACAGGTACTCAAAATTGTTATTTATTTATTTTTGCTATTAAGCACAGCTGTTGAAGACTTTATTGCATTTGAGCCCCTCCATTTGTACTTCAGTAAGTCAAGCCAACATATTTCATGTTCAGAATGCACGCTGCCCACTGAGGTAGACATGTAATAAATTATTTGTAAATTAAATGTTACAAAAAATAGGTAAATATGAAATGTGTATCACTCACACCTAAAGATGAATGAAAAAATTGTTTAAAAAATCATGGTTGAAGATTTCATAATTCATGTATCAAAGGGTTAAAAGGACTGGCAACCTGAAACACAGATGTTGTAGGTAGGCACATCAAAAGGCTTTACTATATGTGCCTAAAAAAAGCAATAAGTTAGAAAATGTCTTTTCTTAAAGGTGCCATGAGTCTGATTTGTTTAATCAATGATTTATTTACAAATCTTCAATGAAAGTGTTTAAACCTGTGATGTTGCTCATTTCGCCTTCTGCACATCTGATACAATCATGACAGCAAACAGGTTTTCCTTTCTGTAGAAGCTTCTGTGTTCCTGGAGGACACTGCTCACTGCAAACTGATACAGGTACCTGCATGGAGAAAAGCAGCAGATCGTTGTCCAGTGTAGTGTTTTCTTTATGAGTCAGATGTATTGACAAATAAAACAATGAAAAGTGGTCATACCATTTCTGACTTGCCTGCCCAAATTAGTGATTTATTCAGAAATTTTGGCTGTTTGTCTTCGGTTAACGATGCGTCATAAAGACCAACCGTGACAAAGTTCACACTAGTTTTTTCTCCTGGCTGCCAATTAATAATTTCATACTTTGCAGCTGGATCTCCGTGTTTATTGAAGTAAACTACATCTCCGTCTCTTGTTTGGAAGTGAATCATCTTTATGTGCTGCAAAACCTACGATAAACCTTTTGGTTAGTTTATCGCACAGTAAACATTTTCATTGCATAAAAGGTAATTTGCATATTTTGGAATTGTGTTTTGCATTAAAAATGGCTCACCAAGTATGGATCTAGTTTATTCTGGTAGATGCATGTTTTATTACAACCTAGAATATTGTGCAGAGCGTGGGCCACTGCATACACTCCTTTATAGACGTTATTAAATATGGGCATCAGTGACATGTCAGTGAAGCCGTTTTCCACTCCAGTCAGATCCTCATGTCCGGTACATTCTCCCTGTATCTTTTCCGATTGTGACTGTTTGAACTTGCAGCTGAATAACGCCTCCCAAAACTCTCTGAACAAACCGTTGTTTGATGACTTTAATGGCCTCACGTCAAGCATGAACTCTCTTAGACCACTGACTTGTGATTTGGAGATGGAAAGGCCTATGGCTCCATCTAGGATATGATTCTTATCCATTGCTGCAATTTGTGAATCAAAAATCCACGACTCGCTGCCGACCCACTGGTACCCTGTTAAGTTATGCGGGGACAATTCACGTATAAGCACATCCATGTCCATGTGGGAGAGGAAAGCAATGATGACATTTGATGTTGAAGCTTTGATAATGTCGATAATCTTTTGTATTTTTTCTTTTGGGTCCGTTCTAAAGAAAGAAACAGAATATTCCAGACAAATGCCGAGCTGCTGTGCAGTTTCTGTAAATGTTGCCATGCCGTTGTTCCCATAATCATCGTTTGTTCTAACAGCTCCAACCCAAGTCCAACCAAAGTGTTTCACCAAATGGGCCAGAGCCCTGCTCTGATAGTAGTCACTGGGTACGGTTCTGAGAAATGACGGGTACTTGGATTCATCACTGAGACAGGCACATGTAGCAAAGTGACTGATCTAAAAGAAGGAAAACAAAAAGGAATAACCCATAATCCAGTTGAGAGAAAACGGTTACCTGCAAAAATAACACTTTAAATGTTTATTCTTCTTATAATCACCTTTCAGAATGAGCACATATCACTCACCAGTGGGATATGAAACGGTCCAATAACAGTGGCTATTGCTGTACTGGGGGAGGAAGAAGTTTCTCCCATTAGAGCCTGTACTTGAACAGGTCTGGTACACGGCCCCTCGGAGATGGAAGACACATTGTCGTTACCGTTGGTTAAATCAAGAGCAACTTTCACACTTCTGGCAATTGAACCACAAGAATCATAAATATGATATCCCAGAGAAACACCAGGAAGTAGCTCTGTGCTGTTGTTGATCTCCTCAATAGCAAAAAGCATAGCCTGGGCGAACTGGAACTCTCTGAAATTCAAACTTGATTCAGACAACAAGAAATGAAAACAGTTCCCTTAAAAAACAAATGAAACATTTTTATCTAGGTGAATGATATTCAAACATATTTAAGAATATATTTCTGTGATCTATTTTACCTGATACATTCCAGTGGCAATGGCTTTTCTGTGTAAGGATTCTGTTTGTTCATCCAGCTGCTGTGAAAAGAAAAGATTCCCCCCAACATGACATCTCCTTCCTTAGACAGCTGAGGGATCTCAGGATCTCCTCTCCGCCTGCATGTTTTGTCTTCAGACTGAGAAGAAGAAACCAATAACAGCAGCTGTAAAAGGGCACAACCTTGCTCTGGCCACCGCTGTGTGGACGTCATGCTGCCTGCAGTCTCTCTGCATGTCATGTATGCAAATGAGAAGCTTGATCTGGTATTTATTATTTTGGAGCAGCTTATTAATATTAAAGGAACAGCTATTTTCTTTTCTCTGTGGAGCCATAAGGTGAGGTAGGGGGAGTTGCATGGTGACAGGCTGGGATTTCTTACTCTTGTGAAAACACGAGTCCAAAAACACTCTTTTCGTTAACTTTGCCATTTAGAGAGAGATTTATTATTACAGAGTATGCAAGTGTATTGCTTCCACCCTAGCAAAACTAAAAAGAAATAAAAGATATTGTTTCATGTCACATCCTTCTGAGACTTGGCATTTATGGGCACCGACTTCTTGCACAATAACGTTTTATTCTGGTTATCTTAGTATTATTCAGATTAAATGTTTTCAGTGTAGTTTTGCTCTTCTTTTCTAATTATTTAAAGTAGAACTCTGGTTACTTTCATTTATTGGATGGCGCCATCTAGTGGCTGACAAAAGTATCACACCAAGCCTTGGTTTTCACCTCCGGCCAAAAGCACAGAAATGCCCTCCTCCAGCTCACAAAACCAAGCTAAAACACATTATTTGACAAATATTCAATTATAATGCTCATGTTATGCTGTGTTTGTATTTATTTATATTTTAAAGACTTACTTGTCCATGAGAAATGTTGCCAACTAACACTATTGGTTAACGCTGACCAGCGCTCAGTTCATTTTGCATGGAGCTCTACAAGACAGGATGGGGGCAGGCTTAAGAAAAAAGAATAGATGTATTGCCTACATTATATCACAATCACTTTTACAGATTTCTAAAAAAAAAAACATACGTCATTCCTGAAAGGAGAAAACTCCATATTGCAGCTTTAAAGGAAACATCATATACAGAACACCCTTTTTGCATCCTTTTGTGCTGCCAATAGCCTTTACCACAGCATTAACCAAAGGTGTATTGTTAGGTTGCAGCAAGTTCAGAATGCTGCAGCCCGTCTTTTGACCGGCACCTATAGATTGGATCGTGTCACTCCAGTTCTTGCGTCTCTGCACTGGGTTCCAGTTAGGTTCCGTGTGCAATTGGAGGTTTTGGTTCTGGCTTATAAATGTTTAAATGACCTTGCACCTGTCTATCTATCTGAGCTTCTCGTGCATTATGTTCCATCTCATGGACTGAGGTTGGCTGACCAACTTGGATTGAATGTCTCTGAGGGGAGGCTACAGAGAAGAGGTTTTAGGGCTTTCTCAGTGGCGGGACCTACTCTTTGGATAATATTACCAGTCACCAGGCAAGCATCATCTGTTGCTATTTTGAAAACGTTACTGAAAACGTATTTTTACTCCAAAGCTTTTAACACCTTTGGCTGACAGGATGGTCTTGTTTTTATGACTCGTTTTGTCTGATTTTGATTTTTGTATTTGTTTTATGTTTTTTTTATTGACTGTTGTCATTTTATTGTATTTTTCATTTTTTATGTTAAGCACTCTGGGCAACATTGTTGCATTTATAGTGCTGTACAAATAAACTTTGATTGATTGATTAATTGAGTGTGTGTCTCTACTACCTCTAAACACTCCAAATGTGGAAAAAAAAACACTTCCAATTTTTTTCTGTAAATGTTTGGTTTTATAAACAATGTGCATAAAACTAAACGTTTCAACAAGTGCCAGTTTGATAACACAAACAGGAAAGTTACCATATAACCCATATAACATTGAGAATAGCAGCTGCTGCTGGAGGAGCAGCTGCTCTACTCCGAGCCCCTCCCAGATATCTAAGCTTCTCGGCTTATAGCATTCTGAGTGAGGGGTGGGTGGGAGTGCCTAGCTCCAGCCGTGGCAGAAGCCTGAAATGACTCCTTCTGGAAGATACTGAAAATGTCCAGAACAAAATTATTGAAATCACTTCACGTGAGAGTGATTTTATACAAAGAATGTATTTAACATGTTTTTATTGATCATAGAACTATTCTAACTACAACCCTCCCACTGTCCTAATGGGTGTGACCCCATGAGGAAAGGTGACCATTGAGCAGGGTTGATGGTTTATTCCTTGGGTCCATGTGGCAGGGGTGAGGAGTGAGCACCACCTCACCCCTGCCACGTGGACCTCAAGGGATAAACCATCAATCCTGCTCAATGGTCAACTTTCCTCACAGGGTCACCCATAACGACAGAGGGAGGGTTAAAAAAATCCTAACATGTCTTCTTTAAATTAAGACTATTTTCTAAACTATTTTTTGTTTCTTTTAGTTGTTAAAGATTGTTTTTATGTTCTAAATGTTTGGCTAACAGTTGAATGAGATTAGCAAAACAGTACCCCCGAGAGCAGTGCAACAGTCAGACTTCCGAACTTACCAAATAAGGGAATTCCTCAAATCAGCAATGCTGCCCTCAAAAGACTCAGCAGGGACCCCCTTTGTATTTTCTACTGACTTGTTGCAACAACCTTAACATGTTTACACTGCAGCTACATAGCATGCTTACCCATTTTTATGGTGTATGATTTTTCCACGTATAAAATCAATAAATGTGATGTTTTTCACTTAAAAGCTGTTCCTGGATGCACCAACATGTTTGGCTCAAAAAGAAAGTGGCAATTGCACAAAGACACACACAAATGATGGGATTAACATTAAGTTGCTGAGGTTCATTATGAAGTTTATTGACTCGAATGAAGCAAAGCAGTATTTGTTGATATTGAGTTTAACAGATTTCTGTAAAGATTACAAAAATAAAATAAAAATAAAAAACACATATACCACCATGTGTTGTTGGGAGTTACACTTCATTGTGTTTATGATTTTCAAAATGCTTTTGGTGTCCCCCTCCCCATCATATTCTTTTTTGTATTTCTTTCTGGTCTGAGTAACACGATGTAACACTTTGGGATAAAAATGCAAATCAGTAATCCAAAACTAGAAGCTAGAATAGCAAAGATTTCTACAGCAACACTATATTTTCCAGGAGAGCTGACATACGCTGGGATGAAAGTGATCCACACGGCACAGAATATCAACATGCTGAAGGTGATGAATTTAGCTTCGTTGAAATTATCGGGCAGTTTACGAGCCAGAAAAGCAAAAACAAAACACAACGTGGCCAGAAGTCCAATGTACCCGAGCACAGACCAGAAGCCCACAGCCGAGCCCAGAGAACACTCCAAGATGATTTTATCTTTGAACTCCTTGAAGTTTTTCGATGGAAAAGGAGGAGAAACGGTCAGCCAGAGGATACATATGATGAGTTGAATAAAAGTGAAACCCAGAACACTGAGTCTCTGCTGAGTAGGCCCAAACATTTTTGTAATATTTGTCCCAGGAAGTGTAGCTTTAAAGGCCATTAGGACCACCATGGTTTTCCCCAGAACACAGGAGATGCAGAGGACGAAGGTGATGCCAAAAGCTGTGTGACGAAGCATGCAGGACCACTCTGATGGACGTCCGATGAAGGTCAGAGAGCAGAGGAAACACAGAGTCAAGGAGAAGAGCAGCAGGAAGCTCAGCTCGGAGTTGTTAGCTCTGACTAGAGGAGTTTTTCTGTATCTGAAGAAAATGAAAGCTACAGCAGCCGTCAGACATGCTCCAAACAAGGAGGCTGCAGTAAGAAGTGATCCCATGATCCCTTCGTATGACAGAAACTCTGCTTCTTTTGTCACACATGCATCTCTTCTTTCATTTGACCAGGATTCAAGTGGACAGCTCAGACAGGTGACTGAATCTGCAAAAAATAAAAACAAGCGTTAGCCTAGAAGCTTACATTTGTTTGCACTGCAACTCTGAGTGAATGCTTTATGAAGGAACGTGTAGCCTACATTATGGGTTCGCTTTTCAAGAGAGATAGATGGCAGAGACTTTACATCTTTACGTTCTACAGTTTGTGCTTCTTTGCTGCAAGTCCTTTGCATCCTAAGACGTTCCTTAAAAAAACAAAATCCGATTTCTTTAGACTCACGATGCTCTTTCAAAATTAAACAGCTCATTATTCTGTGATGAACAACTTTTGGCTCATTAACACTAACTCTTAATTCTTTATTTTTCCTTATTAAACTGTTTTTCAGCCCAGACTCGATACACGCTCCTGACATGATGAAAGGATTAAATTTATGGAATAGTGGTGGGTGGAATGTAGAAACAACATAAAGAACTGCTGTCTTGTCATTAAATATTTATTCTTTCCTTCCAAGAAGCCCCATAAATCATTTGCTCATTTAAATCTGCCGTTTTCCTGTAGAGATAATTTAAATGTTTTTATTTAAAGATAACCCTGACATTTGCACATTCTAAGAATACATAAATTTTCTGCTAAACCAACATTTAACATATGTGTGGATGCTAATGCACCTGTGACATTGCTTATTGCTCCTTCTGCACATCTTATACAGTCATAGCAGCAGACTGGTTTTCCTTTCTGCAGAACCTTAAGTGTTCCTGGAGGACACTTCTCACTGCAAACTGACACGGGAACCTGCATGGACAAGAGAATATGATATGTTATGATATGTTATGTTGTGTTATGCTATGTTATGATATGATGAGGCTACTCCTCTTTAAATAAATGTCTAAATATCTTATAATACAATAGAAGATAATATGAAACATTATAATATAATATGAACAACACAACTTCTACTAAACATTTTATTAGAAAAAAACATCAATATGATTGTTTGTACAGTAATAAACACAGAGCATTAAATATCATATTAGCTTAACCTGCTGTGAATTTTGTGTCCAGATTAAAGTTTTATTATACAAATTCATTTGTTTGTCTGCAGGTAACGATGCATCATAAAGGCCAACTGTAACAAATTGCACATGGCCGTTTACTCTCGGTTGCCAGTTAATAATCTCATATTTTGCAGCTGGATCTCCATTTTTATTGAAATACACCTCGTCTCCTTGCTTTGTGGTAAAGTAAATGTCTTGAATATTTTGTAATATCTAAAAAAGACAAAGATTTTTAAAGTTATGACAGAAAACATTGCAGTTTTTGGCCCAAAAAAGTAACTAATGAATAACTCTAAATTATATAAATATGTTGGGATTATATGTAATAAATGCCTTTTAAACCTTTAGCTCACCGTTGATGGGTTTAGCGTCACGCTGGTGTTACATGTATTATTACATCTGAGGATATCGTGCAGAGCGTGGGCCACTGCATACACTCCTTTATAGACGTTATTAAATATAGGCATCAGTGACATGTCAGTGAAGCCGTTTTCCACTCCAGTCAGAACCTCGTGTCCGGTACATTCTCTCTGAGTCTCTTCTGATTGTGACAGCTTGAACGTACAACTGAATAACGCCTCCCAGAACTCTGTGAATAAGCCATCATTTGATGAATTAAATGGCTGAACATCCATCATGAACTCTCTGAGGCCGCTGACTTGTGCTTTTGGGATAGAAAGGCCTATGGCTCCATCCAGGATGCGATTTTTATCCCCTGCAGCCGTCTGAGAATCAAAGATCCAGGCCTCAGTGCCGACCCACTGGTACCCTGACAAGTTCTGATTAGACAGCAGATGTAACAACACATCTAAATCCATGTGTGAAAGGAATGTGACGATAACTTTTGAGGTTGAAGTCCTAATAATATCGATAATGTGTTGTAATTTGTCTACTGGGTCCGTTCTAAAGAAGGACACAGAATATTCCAGACATATGCCGAGCTGCTGGGCGGTTTCTATGAATGTTGCCATGCCGTTGTTGCCATAATCTTCATTTGATCTAACAGCTCCAATCCAAGTCCAACCAAAGTGTTTGACCAAATGGGCCAGAGCTCTGCTCTGATAGTAGTCACTGGGTATGGTTCTGAGAAACGAGGGGTACTTAGTTTTATCACTGAGGCAAGCACATGTGGAAAGTGGCTGATCTGCACAAAAAAAAAACAACACAAAGTTATATTTAATTTAATATGCAAGACATCATCAGCTATGTCTGTTTTCAGACACAATAGTATAAATGACATTTTAAATCATGTATCCGTGTAATTTACAGTAGTCATACTCACAAGTGGGATGTGAAGTGGTCCAACGGCGGAAGCAATGGCCGAGCTTGGAGATGAAGAGGTTTCTCCCATTATGGCCTGCACTTGTGCAGGTCTTGGACACACTTTAGAAGGTGAGGCCAGAGCTTCATTACCGTTAACCAAGGCCAATGCAACTCTTACACTCCTGGCTATGGAGCCACAGGTATCATAAATGATGTAACCAAGAGAAACATCCGGCAGCAGGTCTGTCCTATTATTTATCTCCTCGATGGCAAAACGCAATGCCTGCGCTAGCTGGAATTCTCTGAAATTTAAACTAGATTTGGACAGTGGTCAATAATTAGCATCACAGTCACTGAAAATTAAAGAATATCTTAGGAAGTAAAAACATTTGAAGGCTCCATAAACAACTATTCTGAATGAAACTTAAGAAATATCAAGAAAACCAAGCCTGTTTACTACAAATAGACCGATGTGCTTCCTTTACCTCATACATTGTAGTGGTTGTGGATTTTTCTTGTAAGTATCTTGCCTTTCTTTCCAATTAGTGTGAAAAGAGAAGAGTCCACCCAACATAATGTCACCTTTTTTAACTAGTTGTGGGGTTTCTGGGTCTCCTCTACGCCTGCACTCGTTTTCCTCAGCCTGAGAGAAAGAAGCCACCAATAGCAACTGTAACAGAGCCCATCCCTGCTCTGGCCACCTCTGTGTGAATGTCATGCTGAGTGAAAGAGTCGATGCGCTGAAAAGAATGACGGCATCTAACCTAATGGAGATGAAAGACTTGCCCTGAAATATATGCACCTTGATGTAGCAAAGGGTGCAACGGTAAACAGGGATGTTTCATCTCTGTGGACCAAAAACGTGGGATGAGATCACATGTTCATAAAACTAAATGAAAAAAAAAATGGTCGTCAGATTAGGCTTCAGGGGGATTCTCCCATTAGTTTACACCCTGTTCTTTTTTTATTTTTGTTCTATTTTCTGATGTGAAACAATTCAAATATCTGCTAAATGATGAACTTCAAGCCAAATGTAAGAAGAAGAATAAACTATTTTTTATATAGCGCCTCTCAAGATAAAAATCACAGGGCGCTTCTGTCATTTCTTCATAAAATACTATAATGTTTACTTTTTTGTTTGTTTAGTTTTCTCTAACTATTATTCACAAACATTTGATTTTCAGTTCAGGTTTTGATTTTTCAGTTAAGCAATGCAGATTTAGATTGTACAGTAATCCCTCGTTTATCGCAGTAGATGCATTCCAGACCTGGCCGCGATAGGTGAAAATCCGCGAAGTAGGGACTCCCAGCATGCCCCTCGCGGGGATTCCCTCCACGTCGCACCTACGTCACAAACCGCGGCTATAAACGGAAGTCGCCTTTCCAGCTCACCACTCAGTCATCGTTTCTTCAGATTCATGATCAGAGTTTCCAACCTACCGATCAATCCAACGAACTATCAGCTCACAGTAAGTTATCTTACTTACTTCTGGAAAGCCCGGCATTTCCGTGTTGCTTTGTTGACGCTCGAACGCTCGGGGGTTTCTTAGATTAATCGTGAGCCAGCGTTTCACCGACGCTATCACTTCCGCGTCTGTGAAACCATGCTCCCTACAAGCTCAACTCCCGAATCCATCCGACCTGTCTGACATACAGTACTATATTGAATTATCGTATGATCACATTCTCTTTTTGTGGGTAAAACTCAAGAAAAAAATTTTTTTTTACTTGGTTTTTTTAGTTTTATTACAAAAAGTGCATTTTATGATGAAATTGATGGGAAAAAAACAAGAATTTCTTGATATTTCGCATAGAAAAATACCGCGAATCAATGAAAAATACCGCAAATCTGCGAATTACCCCTGAAAAATGCTCCAAAGAAAAAATCCGCGAAGCAGCGAATCCGCGATGAACGAACCGCGAAGTAGCGAGGGATTACTGTACCATGTGCCATATTTTGTACATAAGCCTATAAGCAGGAAATTACAAATCACTGGTGAATAGGCCATCCATCCATCATTTATTCATTCATTCATTAATTCATCCATCCATCTTTGTCCACTTATCTGGGGGCAGTAGCCTAAACAGAGTGTCATGTTGGGTTGTAGTTTTTTGACCCACGACATGCAGAATTACACGAGTGGCAGAAGGTAAGTAAAAAAATATTTATTTTTGTTCGGTGGAAGTGTAGATGAAAGTCGGGGTTCGGGTGGTTCCAATGGAGTTCTGAAGCAGAAACAAGAGTGAGTAGTTGCAGATCAGCGGGCACAAAGCGTAATGAGAGTTGGCTTACGGTTTCCTAGTTGTTGGGGGAGCTTGAGAGGAGGTTAAGTCAAGGCTGGCTGAGCTGGTCGGGTGAGAGGCAGAGGCAATGGCTGGGAGCTGAGCACCGGAGTCCAAGGTGTCCAGGTTGGCAGGTGAGGGTTGGAGAGCAGGCGGTCAGGGGCAAGCGACGGGGCTGGCCGGCAGGGTTGATCCGATGAGTCTATTACTTTGATGATGGAAGTAGACTGGTGGACGAGAGGTACCTGAGGAGGTCGGAGGAAACAGGGCAGGTCGGTGCGAGGGAAGCGAGGTACACAGGAGACCAAAACGAGCTAGAGACAGGCAAAGTACTGGCTAGAATACTACCCAATACTGAGTCATCATCCGGCACTGATGAGTTGTCCTGACACTCCTTAAGTCCCCTGACCACTGATGAGCAGATCTACAGCAGCTGCTTTCCGGACACACCCACCTGCACACAGAAGGACTCAGCACAAAACAGAAGTCAACTCAGCACAGGCCATGACACAGAGAGGCCCAGACTTACCTGTCCAAACCCACTTGGGCCAGTTCCTCCAGGGAATCCCAAGGCATTTCCAGTTGAACTGAAACATATATTCTTTCCAGCATGTCCTGATGTGCTTCCATGTGGTTGGAAATGCTCAGAAAACCTCACATGGAGGTTTCCAGGAGGCTTCCTAACCAGATGCCTGAGCCACCTCAACTGGCTCCTGTCAGTGTGGAGGAGCAGCGGATCTGCTCCAAACCTCTCCCGGATGACCAAGCTTCTCACCCTTTCTCTAAGGGAGAGGCCAGACACCCTGCCGAGAAAACTAAATTCAGCTGCTTGTATCTGCAATCTCATTCTTTCGGTCACTACCCAAAGCTTGTGACCATAGATGACAATAGGAACGTAGATCGACCAATAAATCAAGAGCTTCACCTTTCGGCTCAGTCCTCTCTTCACCACGACAGACTGGTACAATGCCCGTTTCAATGCAGAAGCAGCACCAATCCCTCTGTCTATCTTGTGCTCCATCTTTCCTCATTCATGGACGAGACTCTGAGACACTTAATCTCCTCTACTTGAGACAGGACCTCATCCCAGACCCGAAGAAGGCATTCTACCCTTTTTTGGCTGAAGACCATGGTCTCGAAATTTGGAGGAGCTGATTCTCATCCCAGCTACTTCACACTCAGCAGCAAACCGTTCCAGCAAAAGCTGAAGATCACACTCTGATGAAGCCAATAGGACTACATCATCTGCAAAAGTAAGTAAATAAATTTTATTTATGTAGCAGTTATCACAGACATAAAATCACAAAGCGCTTCATAGATCAAAACAAACTAAAACAAAGTCATAAAATCATAAATAGATTAACATCATCAAATCAAAATGCTCTCAAAACAGAATCAGATTAACATCAGAAAAAATAAAGTCATAAAATTATAAAATTTCATAAACAGATGAACGATTCAAAATTTGAGTTAAAAAGAAGAAAATAAAAAGTTTTGGTAAAAGCAGCTTTAAATCTAAGGGTCTTTAGCTATTTTTTTGAAAAAAATTCAGCAGAAAACCTGATAATTAAGCAATCAAAATGTATCCCTTTAGCACCTTTGCTGTGCCGAGTAATCCTGCCCATAACATTTATAAACCAAATCAGTGACCTATGGCAGCCTTGGCGGAGTCCAACTCTTGCTGGAAAGGAGCCTGGCTTTTAAGTGTCTTAATGGTATTGGCCTGTCTTATCTCTCACAACTTCTTTTACCATAAGAACCCTTGCGGTCCCTGCGCTCCTCTGCCAGCCGTCTCCTTGTCATTCCTAAAGTCAGGACACACACTCACGGCGAGGCATCTTTCAGTTATTACGGCCCTCGCCTCTGGAACGGGATGCCGGAGGATCTCAGGGTTGCAGAGAGCGTTCATGTTTTTAAGATCAGGCTCAAGACCCACCTTTTTAGTTTAGCTTTTAACTGATTACTATTTATTGCATTGCTTGTTTTACTTATTTATTGATTTTTAGTTACTGTTGTGTTACACATGTATGTTGTTTTATTTGTATAATCACATTTTATTGTATATTTTACATCATGCATTTTACATATTTCCCATATTAGCTCTTATTATTTTACATGTTACGTATTTTAATCCTTCCAGTATTTCCTCTGAGGAGCCCTCTGCCTCGGGACCGTTGGTCGGTGGCGGCGGCTGGGGCGCTCCTAGGGTATTTACCACACTCCCTCCCCGGGCGCCCTGGATTGGTGACTTGGCTGCTGCCGTCGATCTGCTGCTGTTGAGGCAGATGGCTCCCTTGATGGCGTGTCTTTCATTACCTGTCCAATCTGAGCTCAGCCTAGTGTTTACTGTGGTCTTTTAATGTGTTATGTGGACGTGTGTGTGTGTGTGTGTGTGTGTGTGTGTGTGTGTGTGTGTGTGTGTGTGTGTGTGTGTGTGTGTGTGTGTGTGTGTGTGTGTGTGTGTGTGTGTGTGTGTCTAGGAATGGTTTGTGGATTGGGGGTGAAACTGTCACAATTGTTTTAAGTGTGGGAAAGGGAGGGAATGTGGATTATATGGGTCATTTTAATATTGTAGGCACTTTGTGTAGCATCCTATGCATAAAAATTTCTATATAAATAAAGTTTGATTTGATCTGATTTTACTGTGGCCAAATGATAACATAGTGCATTGAGTTGTTTAATGCATGCTCCAAGAAGTGTTGGCCACCAGAGGGCAGTAATGAACACTGATCGCCCTTTTCTGTGAATTTTAACATGTTTTTTTGTCCTTGTTTTACACTTCACTGGAAATCCATGAGATTTCAGTACAAGGACAGCACACCATATAGCCAAACTGACATTTTTTTATTTGCTCTTAGGTTCATACAAAACACGTGTGTGTGTGTGTGTGTGTGTGTGTGTGTGTGTGTGTGTGTGTGTGAAGGGGTGAGCTAAAAGTAGTTTTTTATCTAAGAGATGTAGATTAAAATACATTATTCACATACGTTTTCTATTCAAAGGATTGTTTAATTTTAATGACACAGTGATAAGCCTGTGTTTATAAAATGTACTTCAGTAAATTAACTCATCTATGAGAAAACTGAGGAAAGTACAAACACCCAGGGCACAGAGTTTCTTATTTTAGGCACTAAAGGTATGGGGTGACTGAAACTGCAAATGTATGAATGACTTTCTATGGTCACATTTAAATTAATTTCATAGTAAATACATATTTTGTGAAGGCTATACAAATTGTATATATATATATATATATATATATATATATATATATGTATATATATATATATATATGTATATATATATATATGTATATATATATATATATATGTATATATATATATATATATGTATATATATATATATATATATATATATATGTATATATATATATATATATATATATATATATATATATATATATATATATATATATATATATATATATATATGTATATATATATATATATATATATGTATATATATATATATATATATATGTATATATATATATATATATATATATATATATATATATATATATATATATACATATATACATATCACACAAAGGTAAAGATGAATCAGATTTAGGGTTAGGAATAACATTTTCTCCACAGAGAACATACCATACCATGTTTATTTATATAACACATTTAAAAACAGCATGACAGCTGACCAAAGTGCTGTACAGTAAAAAGGACAAACCCCCAAGATAACAGATAAAAGTCATATAGGAGGTAAGAGGTAAAATCTAAAAAATTGTAAAAGAAACATACAACAATAAAATTCTGAGCCACAATAAAATGTAAAAACACTAAAAACTAGATAAATTAATAAAAGCTAAATGATAGAAGAAGGCCTTCAGTACCGACAAATCGACCCAGTTCTGGGGCCTGTCAAACACTAAGGGGGAGGGCATTCCAGAGTGTAGGAGCACTGAATGCAAAGGCCCGCTCTCCACGAGATTTATACCTCATTTTTGGGACGCACAAAAGCAAATGATCTGCAGACCTCAGGTTTCTGGTTGGAGCATAAGGCCTTATCAGTTCTGAAAGATAAGCCAGGGCTTGACCATTCAGAATGTTGTAGACAACGGTCAAAACCTTAAATTGGATGCGGTATTTAACAGGCAGCCAGTGCAAGCGTGCAAGGATGGGTGAATGTGACAGCGTCTCGAGATGTTTGTCAGGAACCTAGCCGCCACATTTTGCACTCTCTGTAGACGCTCGATTGCTGAGGCGCTGACACCAACAAGTAGTGAGTTGGCATAGTCTAAACGTGTAGTTACAAAGGCGTGAACATTAGACTCCAGCTGAGGTCGTTTGACTATTGACTTTAAGCGCGAGATGCGACGTAGTTGGAAAAAGCAGGACCGGACTGTAGAGTTAATTTGTGAAATCATTAACAGATCAGAGTCAAATTTCACTCCCAGACTGGATACACAGGATTTAAGATTTAAAAAAGGTAGAGGGTAGTCACCAGGTGCATGCTTTGGATTTATTGTATTAAAAAGAATGGCGTCGGTCTTGTTTTCGTTAAGGCAAAGGAAGTTCTCCGACAGCCAGCCTTTAACTGCAGTAGTACAGTTGACAAGGAGGCGTGTTGAGTCAAGTTTACTTAAAGCCAGATAAATCTGGCAATCATCATTGTAAAGGTGATAACTTATTCCAAGGTTAGTCAGAATCATCCCCGATGGCAATAACTAAATCGAGAATAGGAGTGGCCCTAGAATCGAACCCTGAGGCACACCCCAGCAAAGTGGAGTTGATGGAGAGGAAAAGCTGTCAATGTGAACACTAAATTGTCTATCTGACAAATATGATCTGAACCAATGAAGTGGGATCCCTGTTACCCCCTAACTTATCTCCAACCTCCTAAGTAGGATGTCATGGTCCACTGTGTCAAAGGCAGCAGAGAGGTCCAGGAGTAACAGAAGGACATGGGAACCAGAATCAGTTGTCACAGAAAACATGTTTTGATGATTTGTTTTAATGATCATTCAATACACAAAAAACCTTTGGCTTAGCATGATGTTGTTCTGTCATTAGTTGTTCAATTATTTAGAAAATAATGGTGTATTTTGGTTTTCAATTACTGTTATTGTAAAATATCAGATGGTTTATCTTCTCAAAAGGATGTCTGTGCTCCTTTCCCCATCATATTCTTCTTTGTGTTTTTTTCTGGTCTCACTAATATGATGTAACATTTTGGGATGAAGATACAAATTAGTAATCCAAAATTGGAAGCTAGAATAGCAAAGATTTCTACAGCAACAGTAAACTTTCCCGGAGAGCTAACATAGGCTGGGATAAAAGTGATCCACACGGCACAGAATATCAACATGCTGAAGGTGATGAATTTAGCTTCGTTGAAGTTATCGGGTAGTTTTCGAGCCAAAAAAGCAAAAATGAAACAGAAAACGGCCAGAAGTCCAATGTACCCGAGTACAGCTGAGAAGGCCACTGCTGAGCCCAGAGAACACTCCAAGATGATTTTATTCTTAAACTCCTTGAAGTTCTGAGATGGGAACGGAGGAGAAATGGCCAACCAGAGGACACATATGATCACTTGTATCAGAGTGAAGCCCAGAACACTGAGTCTCTGCTGCGTAGGCCCGAACAGTTTCATGATGCTTTTCCCTGGAAATGTAGCTTTAAAGGCCATTAAAACTACAATGGTTTTCCCCAGAACACAAGAGATGGAGAGGACAAAGGTGATGCCAAAAGCTGTGTAACGAAGCATGCAGGACCATGCTGATGGACGTCCGATGAAGGTCAGAGAGCAGAGGAAACACAGAGTCAAGGAGAAGAGCAGCAGGAAGCTCAGTTCGGAGTTGTTTGCTCTGACTAGAGGAGTGTTTCTGTATCTGAAGAAAATGAAAGCTACAACAGTAGTCAGACATGTTCCAAGTAAGGAGACACCAGTAAGAAGTGATCCCATCATTTCTTCGTATGTCAGAAACTCAGCCTCCTTTATTATGCAGGTGTCTCTTTTCTCATTTGACCAGGATTCAAGGGGACATCTCAGACAGGTGGTTGAATCTGCAAGTTAATGGTGAACTGTCATTGTGCACATCATCTAAATCTTTATTTTTGTTTTTCATGCCCTGTGACTAACAATTCCTGTCTGAAAACTGGTTGCAAATTAAAAAGGCATCCTTAGCTTCTTTATTTCTGCTTTTCATGGTGGAAGGTCAGAGGAATTTGTGGCTTTGGAGCAGCAGCTCCTAAGCTCCACTCCTCAAGGTACTACCATCCTGCTAGCTCTTTGTGTTTCCTGCTCTTCCACACCTGAATGGAGTAATTTAATCTTTTAACTCAGCACAGGCTTTCTAATTACTCATTCATTTCAATCAGGTGTGTAGGAGCAAACAGCTAACATGTGCAGGATGGTAGCCATCAAGCACCAGAGTTGGTGACCCCTGCACTATACCATTGAATAAAACATTATTATAGGACAACTATTGTCCTTGTGGTTTAAAAATCTTACATGTTTTCCTGTCATTTTCATAACACACCTGTACTTCATTTGCCAGCTGTGTTTGTTTTATTTGTCTAGGTTTTATGTGGACAGTGCAGCATTTTTATTTCAGCCCTGTAATTTAAAATGTGTCTTATGATTAAAGTGTATTGGATTGGATCCATGACCTCTCTCATGTGGAAATGTTGTTACTCTCAACCAATCACAGCTAGGTACCAGTTCCCAGGATACTGAAGAGGATGTAAGAGGTGCAGATAAAAGATGGATGATTTTCAACTCTACTCTACAACTTCAAAAAGTTCTTATTTTAAAATATTACAAAAAGTCAACCTACTTTTCTGGAACATGCTAACCTGTAATGTTGCTAATTTCTCCCTCTGCACACCTTATACATTCATAGCAGCAAACCGGTCTTCCTTTCTGCAGAAACTTATGTGTTCCAGGTGGACACTTCTCGCTGCAAACCGATACAGGAACCTGCAGAAACAAAAACAGGCTGAATGATAAAAGAAAAAGTGTGGAAAAACACTAGAAATGACTGCAGTGTGTTTTACCTGCTGTACATTTTGTGCCATATTTAAAGATTTATTTAGAAAAGTCATCTGTTTTTCTGCAGGTAACGATGCATCATAAAGACCAACTGTTATAAAATCCACTGAGCCATTTTGTTTTGGCTGCCAGTTTATAATCTCATACTTTGCGGGTGGATCTCCGTTTTTATTGAAGTAAACTTCATCACCTTCTTTTGTCTTAAAGTGAATCTTTTGAATGTGCTGCAAAATCTAAAAGAAAAAAACTTCATTTACAATAAATGAACACCATGCTGTGTGAAATCTTTCACAAATGAAGAATTATGCAATCTGCGACATTTATGTTTCACTTTGATATTTTAAAAAGTGATGCTCACCGTTAACGGATCCAGCGTCACGCTGGTGTTGCATGTTCTATTACATCTGAGGATATCATGCAGAGCGTGGGCCACTGCGTACACTCCTTTATAGACGTTATTAAATATGGGCATCAGTGACATGTCAGTGAAGCCGTTTTCCACTCCAGTCAGATCCTCATGTCCGGTACATTCTTTCTGTATCTTTTCTGATTGCGACTGTTTGAATTTGCAGCTGAACAATGTCTCCCAGAACTCTACGAACAATTTATTATTTGATGAATTCAGTGGTTTTACATCCAGCATGAATTCTCTAAGGCCACTGACTTGTGATTTGGGGATGGAAAGGCCTATGGCTCCATCAAGAATGTGACGTTTATCCAGTGTGGCGATGTGAGAATCGAAGATCCAGGACTCACTGCCGACCCACTGGTACCATGACAGTTTGTGTAAAGACAACTCCTGTATAAATACTTCTAAGTCCCCGGGAGAGAGAAAAGCAACAATCACCTTTGAAGTTGAAGTCTTGATAATGTTAATTATATTCTGGATTTTTGCTGTTGGGTCCGTTCTAAAGAAAGAAACTGAATATTCCAGACAGATGCCGAGCTGCTGGGCAGTTTCTGTGAATGTTGCCATGCCGTTGTTGCCATAATCATCATTTGATCTAACAGCTCCAACCCAAGTCCAACCAAAGTGTTTGACCAAATGGGCCAGAGCTCTGCTCTGATAGTAGTCACTGGGTGCTGTTCTGAAAAACGATGGGTACTTGGATTTATCACTGAGACAAGCACATGTAGCAAAGTGGCTGATCTAAAAGAAAGAAAGGAAATAATACAGCACCCATATATGTACAATCAATCGTATCTATTAGAAGGTAATCATTTGCACTTGCCAGCTGAAACGTATTTTTGATGTTTACTGTTTTTCAGACATGCAGCATAGACTCACCAGTGGGATATTCAACGGTCCAATAATAGTAGTTACTGCTGTGCTATGAGAGGAAGAGCTTTGTCCCACTATAGCGTGCACAGCCTGGTTACATGGTTTTTCAGAGGCTGAAACAACGTTGTCATCATTGGTCAAAGCAAGTGTAACGGCTATGCTTCTGACAACAGAGCCACAAGAATCATAAATACGATATCCCAGAGAAACCCCAGGAAGTAGCTCGGTACTGTTATTGATTTCCTCAATAGCAAAAAGCATAGCTTGAGCAAACTGGAACTCTCTGAAATTCACACTTGAATCAGAACATAATATACTGTTATGAAAGCAGCATTTGTCATTTTTAAACAGAACAAATAAAATGCTCAATAAAAGCATTCATTCATTTCAAAACAAGACAGTACGTGTTGCATTTTACCTAATACATTCCAGTAGCTGGGGTTTTTGTTTGTAGGAATTCTGTTTGATATTCCAGCGGCTGTGAAAATAGAAAATCCCCCCCAACACGATGTCTCCACCCTTAGACAGCTGAGGGATCTCAGGATCTCCTCTCCGTCTGCATGACTCCTCAAACTGAGACACAGAAATCATCAACAGTAGATGTAAGAGTACAATTCTCTTCTCTGACCGCTTCTGTGAGGACATTATGCCATCTCAGGTAGTGAGCAATGGCTTGCATCTCCTGAACAACCATGCAGACTTGAAATGGTATTACTTTACCATCACGTCATGAATTATTAATAAAACTACTGGGCAGATTTACAAGGTGGGGCAGGAGGAATGACATGACATAATCCTAATCCTCTCCCACCGTTCCATGCTTGTGTAATGAAGCCCCACTACAATTATCTTAAAAGCATGTGCTAATGGTTATTTCAGCACCTGGACAAAGACTCAACTAGCACCACAGCTTCCGCCACTGCCAGGCCCAGACTGCCCATGTGGCATTCTTGAGTCCAGAGAGGTGTGGACTCAAGTCACATGACTTGAACTTGAGTCAGACTTGAGTCATTATTTTAATAACTTCTGACTTGACTTGATAAAATCTATAAAGACTTATGACTTGACCTGGACTTGAACGCCAATGACTTGTGACTTGAATCACACATTGCGTGTGTGTCTCTGCTCTGTCTTCTCGATCCCCAGTGAGTCGTGGAGGATGGCTGCTTATACTGAGCCAGGATTCTCTGGAGGTTTCTTCCTGTTAAAAGGGAGTTTTCCTCTCCACTGTCGCTTTATGCTTGCTTAGTATGATGATTGCTGTATAATCACTACACTAGTCAGTGACTTGATGCAATTTGCTGGGTTCCTTATATAGGAAACATTATTTCTGATTGGCTTAATGAACTTTCCTAAATTGGAATGTTTATTATGTGAAGTGCCTTGAGATGACTCTTGTCGTGATTTGGCGCTATATAAATAAACTTGAATTGAATTGAATCGACTTGCATCTGTTAACTTGATGATGACTTGAGCATTGTTGATATTTTAGCACAAGAGTGGCACGACATGGATAAAAATCATGAATCACTCTTCGTTCTGGGTTTGATGGTGTACTGCTAAATGCAGCAGCACTTTGTTTATAATCTGTTTCAGTTGCACTTCCTGCTTGTTTGAGCACATGAATTAAGCTTTGAGAAGCTTTACTTCTGGAATTTATTTATCATCATTGCCATTAAATTGAAAGTGGACAGGTGACTTGATTATTACTTGAAATTTCAAAGTTAAGGACTTGGACTTGACTTGGTTTTTTGGACTTCCACATCATTGACTTTGGACTCGACTTGGACTTGGTTGTATTTGACTTGGACTAGACTCGAAACTTTACTGGAAATACTTGTGACTTTCTTGTGACTTGCACAACAGTGACTTGTGACACCTTTGATTGAATCTGACAGTGGTGCCAACTTACAATGCTGACAGAACAAGTCACCCTTGTCTACATGACACCACCCTGCCACGTGGACCTCAAGAGATAAACCATCAACCCTGCTCAATGGTCAACTTTCCTGGCAAGGTCACCCTTGAGGACAGTGGGAGGGTTCAAATTTAAATCTTCAAAATAATGGTTGAGAATTCCTTTTTCTAAATGTGGACTATGCCATATAAGAAAATTTTAACCTCAAAACCACAAGATGTGCGTAGTTTTTTGTGTTGAAATGTGTTGTTACTCTGCGATGGACTGGCTCTCAGTCCAGAGTGTACCCCGCCTGGTTGCCCATTGACCGCTGGAGATAAATAGCACACTGAAAAGCTTTCTGTTGAACCAAACTATTTCAGCTCAGTAATGGATCTTTTCTATCAGAACCTACCCAGTTCAGCCTGGTTCTAAGGTATTTCCACTAGTAACAAGTACCTGGGCCGATTCAAAAACATATCACACATCGTTGGTCACTACTCAGACTGTACAACATCACTACCAAGTCCTCCACTGGTGTGTTTGTGCACTACTTCTCTCAACGTATGCTACTTGAAAGCACTTGGAGATTTATACAATTGTTTTCATCACCAACCAACCAACTTCTAGCTAACTTTTTTGTGGAGTGAGCAGCGAAACAGAAAGTGAAGCTACCTTAGCTGCCCAATGACCCGTTCTGTTTGCAAAAGTAATTTAAGAAGTTGGTACTTTGGCAGCAGTAGGATTTTAGAAAATCGTTTTGAATGTTGAGCTTGTTCCTAGTGCAGGTTGGAGTTCTCATGAGCTTGCATTTGTTTTTTGTTTTTTTGTATCCTGGACCAAATCTCAGGGGGCAGTTCAAATTCAATTCAATTCAAAAATACTTTATTAATCCCAGAGGGAAATTGATTAAGTTGTGTATAGTGAGGCATGTATTATCTAACTTGGAGTCACATCTTTATCTTTTCAGATTATTTGATTGATTCATTAATTTTTTTTTTTGGGTGACTTAAACAACAGTTTCAAATTGAATTGGGATTGTGGTTTAGACGAGTTTCAGCTTTTCTTAGTCTGAGAGCATTAGTCTAGTAAACTGTTTTGTACAGTGTTATTTAGTAGTGCTGTGTTTCTCTTATTAGCTACCATTTCATTTGCCAGTCAATGCATGAAAGTGTTTTTTTTAAGAACCCATCCTGATAAAACAGAAAAATCTCGCTCTATGAAGCCAGTGAGTTTTTCACCATATATAGGGGTTCTTGATTGTTCAGACATTTCAACAATGGTTCAAGGGAAGCAGTTCATTTTTTTCTGTTGTAAGCAAAGATAATCAATATAATATGAGGCGGTGATAAAATAGGTGTGATTTAGAAAGTATATGTTGGGCAGAAGAATACTTTGTGCAGTATAAGAGCTCTCCATTGATTTTTGTACTGTGAGATGTGCTTGAGAAAAACAGAAATACACAAAAACTTTTTTTTTTTCAAAAACTGTTTATATAAATAAACCACAGACACACTTCTCACACACACAATAGCTGTTTTTACAGGACCATAGCGTTTGCAAAACAGGATTTACCGCAGCTCTCTGGGGAGGATTTTGGCATTTATAGTAGCAAAGCTGAAGCTAGAATTTACTTGTCATGTTCTGTGTCCCTTTGTTCCCCAGCCCCTCCAGTTCCCACTCCAGGTTCTCCTTTTGTGTTTCATAGCGCCCTCATGTGTCCTTTGTCTGCGTTTCATTTATGTGTCTCTTTGTGTTCCTCATTTGTCCCCTGGTCTTCAGCGTTCCAAATATATCTCTCAGGTCCTGTGTTCCTTGACCCCGGCTTTCCACAGGAGCCGTCAGCAGCACGTTACTGCAGCAGCACGTCATAGCTGCTGATAGGAACCGCTGTGGTCAACAGAACCTTTTCCACTGGAGCCGTCAGCAGCGCGAGTCGGCCGCATCTCAGGAGCAGCATGTCGCGGCCTTTACGCGCCGGGCCTATTTTCTACGCGCGACGCCTCTGAAACGGGTCAAGTTCGACATTTTGGGGGAAGGAAGGACAGGAAATTGGACGCGGAAATAGAGAGAAGCTCCCGAGATTTTCAGAATAAAGTAACGTACTACCTTCCGGTTGCTTTACTTTAAAAGAGAAGTTGTCACCTGGTTAGTGGTCTCGTTTGTATTTCCATAACGGACGACGAAAGGTTGATTACAGAAGTGGAGAAGTACCCAATCCTGTTTGACCCCAGTCACAGTTTTTATAAAGACAACGTCAAGAAGGATAATGCATGGAGTGACATATCTGCAGTTTTGGGGCAAGATGGTGAGTTTATGCTAATTATTAAGTGATTTGTTTTCTTTATGGACCTCTGTCAGTCGTGCTATCTAAAATATATGGGTCTTGACGTTTTAATTAAACTACAATTAACTAATACCTAAATAAATACTGTTTGTCATTTTTAATACACCATTAACACCAGGCCTATATTTTTGTACTTATTATTTTCTATATCAGTGTCATATTTGTAGCTGTAGCTGTTTAACCTTAATTATTTCAACCAACTATTCCTGTGTACCGTAAGAACATGTATGATACTTGTAAATTGAGGTTTCAACCATTTATAAAACTCCAACACAGACCTAGGAACCTGGGAGAAGTGATTGAAGCATGACGTTTCAGCCTTTGTTTAAAGACAAGGCCAACACTGTGTTTCACAAGCTACTTCATTCATGTGCTAGAACATTGCAAGGGCACTTAGAAATGAAGAGAAAGCCATAAAAGATAGATTAAAACTTCACAATGTTTCATAACGTTGCAACAAAAATGTTCTTTAATAAAAATAAAAAAACTCAACACATTCTTCTGAAAAAGTATCCAAATACAACAAAGAATCAACTAACAAGTTTACAGTCCTAGCAATTTATAACTCATAAATGGTCACAAAATATTACTTTTCATCTCAAAAGGGTCACTGGAAGGTTCCTGTATTCATAATAATTACAATGCCATATTATACAGCAGGCTGTGGTTAAACACCTCAAACCATCCTGTCCTGCCATGGCACACTTCCTTCGGGGGAGTTGAAGAAGGTGGTGAGGATTCCTCTGACATCCCACGCAGCTCTTCCGGCTCTGTTTCCTCCCATGTTTTGCACTGCAGCCATCTCTCTCCCTTGCTGCTCTGCCTCATTCAGCAGTATTTGGTTGTCTGCTGGGTTAAGTAGGAAGTTGTGGAGGATGCAAGCGGTAACAACCAGTGGGTCAACGTGGTCTGGAGACAGGTTAATCCTCCGATAAAATATCCTCCACCTTGAGGCCAGAATGCCAAAGGCATTTTCCACCACCATTCTCGCTCTTGAGAGTCTGTAGTTAAATATTCTTTTCTCATGACTTAGACTTTTCCCTGGGTAAGGTCACATGAGATAGGTCTTCAAGGGTAAAGCTGCATCTCCCACCATGGCGAATGGCACAGCACCCAGGTGAGCCGCCCCCGGTAGAGTGGCACTGGCTGGGACCTGAAGGGTTCCGTTCTCCATTCCTTTTCCCACTTCTGATCCGGCAAACACACCATCATCGCTGGTTCTTCCGGAATACCCCACCTGGATTATCCTGAACCTGTAGTCAGCATCAACCACTGCAAGAAGCACTATTGAGAAGGTCTTATTGTAGTTGAAGTATTGACTTCCAGACAGTGGTGGAGCCTGTATCATGACATGTTTCCCATCGGTAGCTCCTAGGCAGTTTGGAAAATTCCACTTGTTCCAAAAGCCTTTAGCCACC